ATTGAAGTTACAAATAGATGGTGTTTAGGGTTTTTCGTCAGAACCGAGATTTTGATTTTTGACCAGTGGGTATTTAGAAGATATTATTAAGAAGCCAAGTTCAACTGCAGCTCCTTGTACAGTTCGATAACGATATTCCCTGAACCAACCAATAATCCGCTTTACAATTACGCTTCGGTACACCTGGACGAGCAGTTATGCTTGATCATGTAACATTGGAAGAAACAAGAAAAACTTACTTATCCTACTTTGATTTTTGATAAAACAAAAAATAAAATAAACCCGAAATTTTTTTCAACTCGCAAGGAGAAACCGAGTCTACCGATACACTGTTATTATTAGCGTCGCTGAGCGAGAGCGCCTCAATCTCATTGCACAGAATTCGTTTACTAACAAATATTCGAAGTTCTAAGTCTAGTTCTGCGGTTAGCACCTGCCGGCATGAAAAAACCTGTGGGCTTCGAGTCCAAGAAACAAGTACACCATCACAGCATCATCACGACGATCAGCAATGCGCTTACTGCTAGGGTTTAATTGTTCTAACAGTTCTTACAAAATCATCCAATTTGGTTTTACACTATTGTACGTAACGCTGGCCATATATGTGATTTGTTTGCAGACAAACATGGTCTTGTCAAAGCTTCAACACCGATTGACCCACACCTCGTGAAACACGTCACAATGTTCGCCATGAGTGAGCTTATAAAAAAATTTAGCCGCACGAACTTTGCACCTTGCAATTTAGCCGAATATCGGTTTAAAATTGACGTGTAATAAATAAACGATTGAATGTGATGGATGTATTTTTATTTAAGCTGAATTGTGGCGTCGTCCTATAATTGTTTGGATACTTGCTTGTGTACACATACTTGTGAGCCTTGGCCTCTTTAACCTTTAAGAGTACCTACAAGTATATCTAACACGACTCGATTAACCTAGTATAGCACTGGTTCAGAGCTATGCAATGTCGAGCATGCTGTTATAATCGAATGGAAAATAGTTGTTTTATACGAAGCATCCAATGTTTTATTCAAAGTCTTCATAACTGTTCTGGGATAATAATTCGGCCCGCAAGCTATTTTTTTGATAAGCACAGGTGCCTTACAAAGTTGATTGTTTCAATTCTTTGTGATAGTTGTATCTATGGTACATAAAGTAGGAGTATTGTACTAACAACCGAAAGATTTCACGACCGCGCAAAAAAATTCGAAACATTCTCACTCTCTCCCCATTCGTCACTCTCACTAATTTTATGATGGAAGCCTTCCTCGCACGACCGCATGTCCTGCACGAGTGACTTTATTTTATTAATGAACGTGCGAGAATGTTAACATATTTTTACGATTAATCGAATCGATATTAAACAGTTCATCGACAAAAGCAGACCTTTTAATCATTTGTTTAACTTTAATAAAATAACGTGTGCTGGGGGGATCCGCTCGCTTGCCTGTCAAACTTAAGAATCGGCAATATCACATTATTATAGTTATAGCATTTAATAGCCTAGAGTACTTGGTCATAAATCATAAGCCATCACTCCTAATGACGGTGTTAGACATTCGAATAAGTTCAGCGCCTGGCGTACTATATGTAAATGGCTGAATATTTTTTGTCAAAATTTATCGAAAATGTTTATTCATATAAATATTGGCTAAATAATTACGGTCAAGAGATCTCGATTCGTCTGGGCAAGTGGTTGCCTAGAAATCTATACAATATTAGTACGGTGCGTGAAATTGAATCCCGCGACGCGCAACGAAAGACAATCATTCCCTTATACCCATTGCATTAATCAACCACCTCGGCGATTTTCTGAAAAATCTGTCTTCTGTCTTCGTCGCCGCTAAAAACAGACTCAAGGCACACGAAGGGATGAAAACCAAAGAAAAAAGGAAAGGTTACGATGACCAAATTATTTCGCACAAGACATTCGCAGAACTTTATATATGAATAGCAAACGCGCCATAATCTTTGGAAGGGGCGTAAATAGCGGTGCTGCCCACTTCGTGGCTAAATAGCAAAGTCGCTAATAATGGCATACACCGGAAGCACTGCAATCCGGACTAGGATGTGTGGATTACTACTGCTGGAAGCAAGCTCGACACCTTTGTATAACTAGGTTTAACATTAATGTAAAAGTAACACATAGGACTGATGCATATTTAGCAATGATAGTCGACGGATCGGATCGGATGGGGACGTGCTAGATAATATCCTCTGTCATTATAATGAATAGCCAAAAAAAGTAGCTCCCAGAGAAGTAGCAAGCAGCCCCTTTGAACTGGGAAGAAAGGAGAACTGCTGCCATCGTGGGCCTTCAAACTCGATTGCCCCGTGAGTTAAGTTCAACCGTTGCTGGACGGAAAACGTTAATACATATCGTTGCTCTAATGTGAATATGAACATAACACATACGTACATATCTAGGTATTTACAGCGCTGATGGCAAACATCGCGTCTCCTCGATAGCATCATGTTCCAGGTAACTACCTAATCTCTTGCCAGCAAGAGATTCATCATTTACAGAACAGGACTGAGAAGAAAACTAGCTACGACATTCAAATTCATATTATATTACTCGAAGCGCATTAATGAGACTCTTTTAGCAATCGCTAATCTCGAGCTTATTCTGTGAGCCTTTTTACAGCTGAAATTTTCAAAGAAGCTTTGTTAACACGCGGATACCGAACGATTTGTGTATGAGTAAGACTAAAAAATAACGAGCAAGCATATCATTGAGAACAACTGAATACGAGGCTGTCTGTAACGTGTGAGCTAATACAGCTACTACGCTCTGATACAGACATCCTCCGTTTTCCATTTGAAGCATTAGATTCTATTTTATTTAGCGTTTCGAAGAAGAACTGGCACATTTTTACACATATTTATACATATCTAAGTGCAAATTTACACTGCCCACAGCAAATATCGGATATTGGACGTTCGAAGTGCTACTAAATATAATTCGACAAGCGAAAACGATGTTCAAAAGTTTGTGCTGGTGAAGTATTCATATCATTCTCCGCGGTAGATTTGAAAATATTTTAGGCCGTCACACCGTCAGGAACCTAACCTGCCAAAGTGATTCGCGAGCGCGTTGCAGGTACGCCATTTTCGAAAGCATTTATCAAAAACCACTTGCTCATATATATATATATATATATATATGTCATAAAACTTTTAAACAATGGCTCATTTATGTAGAAATTAAAGATGCAACCGTCTCAATAAATTTCAGAAAGGTATAGATTTTACAGAACGACATAATTCGGCTTGCTGCAATTTATTAGCCTCTTTAAGCATCTAAGCAAAATCATGTCAGCTGTCATACGATTGTTGTTACTTATAGTAAATCTTCTATTATTATCGGAGTATTTTACTAGGAATTTCATATGACGAAACTTACACGAAGCAGTATGATCTAAGCGTTCTGTACATTAGTTGTATGTGCATGTCTTTCCTATTCCTTCGAATCAATTTCTCTCCAAAGATGCAGACATTATCGAACGTTGCAGTTTACCACGCCATGACGGTAACTAAGTGGGAGAATATAAATACAATCATACAAAGGATAAAGATTAACCCAATTACGGCGGATTTCCTCTAGATGTGCGGTATTCACTAAGACTGTCATGTCACTCGGTCAGTGGCCAGCACCGCTAACACCTGAAGATTCAAATCCAAAAAAAGCCCTTTAAGTGCAATCATACATAGACGACAGGCGTTACGAATATTTTTTGACTAATCACTGGCCTCCGGCTGGTAAATGGCTAGTAGATAATGTAGCGACTGCATCGGCACGTAACGCCTGACAAGACGGAAGTTCACGGAGAGACTCCAAGGTGGCAAGAACACGAAAATTGCCCTTCTCTCTCAAAAAGGTTGTCAAGTTACGTTATGTGTATATTGGCGGAAATTCAGAACTAAAAAACTTTCCGAGACAAGGTGTTGCTCTCTCGAACTACTAAAATGTGTAATAATGGCGACTGCTAAAAGCTTGGAAAAAATGAAGGTTTAGTTGTAGAAGTCAGTCTGTCATATACAACTTTTTGCATTGTGAAAAAGTGATCTAATTAACACGCATATATGACGTAACACTGCAAATAATAACCACGTACTGTATAAACCCGAAAGCCTGGCAGAAGACTATCCTACGAAATAAAGCATTATGTGCGCTTGGATTCTTGCCACACAGAAATCACTCTGACTCTGATTATATAATGAGTGTAAAGTGGCTATGTGTCTTTTCTGACTCTTAGAGTAGATAACCAATTAGACCTCTCTGATTATCAAGTGAATATCTTTATTCCTTTCATTTGTCATCGCTTGATTTCCCACCTTCTCATTGTCATCAACATCACTATCGCTCCCATCACTTTATCGCATCAACGGGAAGGTCTCCCTTTACTATTGTTCGTCTTTGCCTTTTATCGTCGTTTTCCCGTCTCTGGCTGCTGCTGCCTCCTGACATCCGAGACCAAAAGAAAGCATCACTGCGGTACTTCACCCCTGTGGCCTCTATGCCAATACTGCTTTCGCTGTTTCTCTGGCTCGCGGCCTGTTGTTCTCCTATTCACTTCATCGTAACCCTGCGATCGTTTTTCCTCCCCCCGGGTCCGGTATCCCAACCTGCAGACTTCGATCATCGTCGGGCAATCCTACGAAACTTGCTCAATTTCATCTTTCTTCTCACAGCGCCCTCGTTGTTCCTTCTCAAGTCGAGGTCGCACTGAAGCCTGGTTGTACTGAGGTAATTCCACAGCCAATGAGTTTCTGCGATATGCGATCGCAACAACAGCAGACTGAACGAAGAAGACCCACCACTACCAACGGGGGCCCATAGTCAAGGCTGTCTTCCGAACCGTCTCGTTTCACACGCATACAATACCTAGAAGCCCCCGCCCCACCTGTTATATATCCCCCGGCGTTGGGCCTGCAGCGCCCTCTGTGTGCCTTGCTGTGTAGCAGTGTCGGGCCGCTGGCAGAGGGCGCCACGAGTGGGGCCCTAACCCTCGACCGAAGGAAGGCAACGGTAGGAAGGACATTTGGAGAGGGACCGTTGGGATCGTGTGCTCGCGACGTTCGAGCAAGAAGTGAGCTAGCATGCGGGTGAGTGAGTGAGTGAGGAGAGGCCGGAGTGGAGAATACTACAAAGCGTTAAGGAACGTTCCCGCTCCTGAGCTGGCATAGGCCGTTTCTACTATTAGTACCACAACTAGCAAGCATTGCCTTACAACGGTTGGTTTAATGGTGAATCGTGGTCAGTTCTGTCAATCCAGTCGGTCTATCGACTTGAAAATGCTTTGCCGCTTAATCGTGTGCGTCGTTGGGTTAAATTACTGTCTAATACAACTGACATAGTATGCGGTGTAGCTAAGAAGTGGGAGACGTGCTTAGCTTACTCACATTCGTTTCTAACAAAATTGCGTGAGTGACGACGATTACAGCCACGACGACGAGTGTTGGTGTTGATCGAGGCCGGCAGAAATAACGAGGAAAAGAAACACAGGCACCTCATTGGTACTCACAAGCTCATGCTTTGGTGAATTGTATGCCAGCTATGTGGTTTTAATAGGTAAAACACACAAACTGTGGAGTCCTTGCCCATAATCAAAATCTAACGATAACATAGTCTGCGAGTGAAAAAGTGAAATTTACTAAAAATTGTATTGTGTATGACATTTTCTCCGGTTCCGTCGAACATGCTAAAGTGCAGTGTGTCATTGGTTGCATAGTACAGGGTAACAATAGTTGTAATAGTAGTCTTTATTGGAGTAGAGAAGAATTAGGAAAATCCAAAGCCATAGAAGAAATAGGAGCAGCTGTGCTGTTTCTTTCATTCATCGTCGTTGTAGCCTTTCGAAGCACCGTCATCCGCTAAAGGTAACAAGAAACGAAGCTAGGTCTACGAAGTCATTTTACTAAATGCTCATTTAAACGATCGCTGACAGCGCTGCCGTGCGCGGTATATGGGCCTGATGATCGTAGTCTATTCCTTGGTCGGTATCTACCCTTGACCTCACTGTCTGTTGTTTTCTTCCGACTTTGGTTGAACAAAGAGGACGCGCTTTTGGTTAATTTTTTCTTTACCATACAACGCAAGTACATTCCGCCCGAGGGAGCTCTTCGATCTGGCGACAACAACAGTTCGTGTTCAAGTTTTGAGCGATGAGCGTAAGCAGCTGCCGCTGGTGGCGGTAGGGGTCGTTGTTTAACCAGGCGTAACTGAAGCCGAAAGAGACTGGGGAAACGCTTGGTGTAGTCGGATTTTCCACCAATGGGAAATAGCAACAAAAACGTGCAGCGTATGGTTTCTGCCAATACAGTTAGGGCAGAAGGAATGCGTCTACTGCTAAACGGCGGTAGGCGGAACGGCAAGCTAAGATGGCCATTTGACAGCCTTGCTAACGATACCAGAATTTATTAAGCTAAAAACACACGAGCCCACCAATTTAACCATCAGACCAAAACGACAGAGCAAAATTTTTGGAGTCGTAGGGGCTAAACTATTCCACTTGAGGAGTAACGACCAAATATTATCATCAAAAGCGCTTAAGCTCAGGGAAAACGTAGATAAACTTATACCCCAATATGTCACTTAAATACAACCAAGCAACTATTGCAAAAAAACTACCAAGCTACAACCAGCGCATAGAATAGATATTGCTCAACTGTAGAAGCTCATTACTTAAACATCCTGGACATTGGCTATAAATACTGTTAAGAAACATATATTTCCCGTTGGCATTCTTACCATTGCCCTAGGTAAACTTGCCATTGCGCATGAAGAAAACGTCACCGACTGTATTTACCAGCGCAGAGGTTTTCGTCATCAAACATGCACTCAGACATGCAGAGTTCAGATTCACAAAACAAAGAACAGACGAACGATATTACGCCTTTTGTTTCTTCTGGTGCAGTAACAGCAGATGGAAATTTACACGCGTGCGATGATATTGTTGAGAATTTCTATATAGTATTAGCTATCATCAAGCAATTTACTCTGTAGTTTGAGCAGGAAACAATGTCAAATTATTGCTCATATGGAACAAAAATTGTTGTGAGCCTTGATATTACAGGTTGCATTATGGTGGCTGTGAAAAATCGGTTTAGTTAGCTTGAACGGCAACTGCGTGAATCAGGCTTCTTTCAAAAGGTGTAATCTTATTCATTCGCGTGGATTTTCCAATTATGCCGAGATTAGCACGAATCTTCTGCAGTCGATGTAATAGTGATGCCTACTGTCAGCTCAAATAGTGAATTTGAGCAAATAAATTTCATTTACCTAAAACGTTTTTGTGTGACACGTAAACTTTGCCACTAACACCCTACGTATATCTTCCGATAGTTTTTGTGTTGTCATGGGAGCAAATTGATTTTTAGTATACGCTATACAATGTAATGTAAACATGTCTCTTATTTTTTTGACCATATTTGCCATACGGGTGCCATACCCCGATCGTTGGTACGCTAACCTATACTTTAAACAAGATGCAATATCTGGTCGTGGACAATTATAATGTGTATAAAAATAATAGTACTCATAATAACTATTAGAAAAAGTTCAGATTACGCCAACTACAATGGTTGTTGTTGCTCTTTAAAGCTGCGTGAATGACGGCAATCGCGGTCTTATATAATTTTTCTTTCAACTGATAACCGGATATAAAAAAAAATACGTATCTTAGAGATTCCTTCCTGGAAGACTTTACTGCATCTGTTCGAAGAAAGGTACTGTATACGTAGTTCGTAACTAAAAAAAGAAAGCCTAACAAAATAGGTAAACACAAGACGAGGACACTGAACTTTTACGAAACCATACGAAAGGTATACCTGCAGCATACTAGTAGGAAAGATAAAAACGATTACAGAGCAATGATCTTAGCCGCAAAGTTTTTTGAAGGCAATACGTGCATTACTTCGAATGTAAATTCGTGTGCGATCTTGCCAAGCGCCTTCTGAAGGGGATCCAGTACGATGACCTAATGGTATCGAAGGTAAACGGCGTGTGCTAACATCGAATATACAACGTGAATAGATGAAAACACATTGCAGCTTATGACAACGGTTACGCGCAGGAGACCTGGTAGTTCCTCAAGAGCAAGGAAATTAGGCATACGAAGACGCATGACCGTAAGGCAAACTAAAAGGGCATTATGCATGCTGCTGTAACTAGCATCCCCGCATTGGGCTCCGGCTAAAATGACCCTAGTTTTCAGTCTAGCCGAGACTTCCAGAAGGATAAAACGCACATAATATCAAACTAATATCCCTCGGTGTTTCGAGTTTTACGTCCGGTATCGCCGTTAGGCATTCCATGAGATATCTGGCTCCCAGCACAGAGCGAAGTGCGTCTATGCCCGGGTCTGAACCGGAACTGAAACCATGCCTGTTAACCCTGAGAACAAAAATCACGATCGGAATCTATAGCACCACGTCCGGTAGTCATATGTTTAGCGTTCTACTTAGGATAGGTTTATGTTGCAACATAGGAAAAATCTACAGCGTTCAACAACTTTACAACAACAAGGACAAGATTTGCTGTTTACTGTTCCATAGTAAATGCTCTAGCGTCAAATGAAGGTAACGAACACTGTGATAGTGTATTTATAACCGCCCTATTGAGACCATCCCATGAAATACCAGAAACAAATCTAGGCGTGCTGTTGTTTCTAATTCGTTTTCTTGTAACCCCTATTTCATAGATGTTTGAATCATAAAGTTGCATCATAGCTCTTCATATGTATATAATACACTTCTACATAACCCGGTTAAAGGTTGTAACGAGAACGACTGCGATAAGCGCTAAATTTACATATAACAGATCTTATAGCTGACCTATTGACGTGTCACCAATACGTTGTTTTTGTTTTTGAATTACTTGAACTATGTTTTGATTTTGCATAAATGGCAGGTTAAATGGAATATGGGTTATTAAGTACCTGAATATCCTTGGACCAAAATCAGTAGTAAACCGAAAGCGATCCTTAATTGGTAGACTTGATTTTTTATAAGATTTTAAATGTTATATTCGCGTGAATCAGGCTTGGTCAAAAGAATTGTGTAATTATCTAATTTGATTTTTTGAAACAGACACGTTTTTATCCCAAAAATTCACGATACACACGAGTACACATATTTGAGGCACCGTTTTCTATTCTAAATCGATAACTGATTGGCCCCTCAGATAGACTAAGTAGATTAGTTCTTGCTGATGGAATGGGCTCATCGTTCGAACGGTAATAATTTGCAGAGGTATTCAAATATCTACTTATAAATCGGCCGGTTTTAATCGTCACCGGCTATTTGCATACATGAATCTCATTGAATAATACAAAGATGTAGGCTAATAATAAGCATGTAATGGATTAAGGTCATCGAACATACCTGAGTTCATTACAATGTCCCACCGTAGATATTCTTGTCAATAATATAATATCTGATGGGGCAGCCAGAATAACGCTGTGCCGTAAATACTGACAAACTGCGTACTAATACAATACGTCCTTTAAGCAGATACGTGGGGAAGTTTGTTCGACCCAGGTACCGCCTCATCGAGAAGATCAGCCTTTTGTTTTATTTGGTTCCCCTATGCAGACGTAGGTTTAGGCAACACTGAAGAGATGGTCTCATTAACTCTACAAATGAAATCATAGCTATTAATTACAGAATGATTTCAGCGGAATCATTCCAGTATGATTGTCTAATGTAATCGGGGAAAAACAGAACCAGAATCTAGTTTCATTTCCAGTTGAGAGGAACATTATTAAGAGAGAAAGATGACTTGTTGTTTAAAGTAATATGTAATTCCATAGAAAAAATTGCATGTTCAAAACCAGTGAAGGTTAACGGGTTGGTACAGTCAGCTTTAAACAGCATCATATCTTTATAGATATATAGGCCCGTTTACACGCAGCTATACGATTCAAATTCTCGTATCGACTTAATGTCGTTCCACGATCGGCCTTCAGGGTGAGGCAACCACTTAGACGGCAGTGGCCCCTGTTTATTCCTCAGTGCTTAAGACTCCTGCTCTCAACTGATAAAACCACACAGCCGTTAGTAAACGACCGTTTGATATAATACGTTAAAGAAATAACAAGATGATACCACTAAGGTCTTGCCCCTGTTATTTCCTATGCAAAATCGACTTTTTACCTGAATGCTCATGCTGAGGCTGAACGTTACGCTCGTAACTAGGTATTTACTTTGGCGTTGCGTATAAGGCGATTGTCGTATTGCGATTGCAACAACGATGCACCGTAGCATTGGCGGCAAAAGCAGTACTTCTTCTGCGAAAAAGTAACTACCTACAGAAAACGTGAAAAAGGGCAAAACAGTAGAGCCAACAGAGAAGGAAGATAAGAAGAAAAGTACGTCTCAGTTGCAATTCTTCGTCAGGATTATAAAAACGACCTGCAAGATAAACTTATTTCGATATAGCAACGATTTCGATGCGAATAGCGTCACTTTTTTTATTTTCAGTAACAACAGCGTTTTACGTAGATAAATTGATAATGATATTTTTAAATAATTCTTCGCATTATCGCGGTAAGAAAAATACTGGTTTAAACAAAAAAATATTGGATATTAGTCTGAGAAACAATGAGACCAAATATTCGAAGTTAGTACATGCACTATATCGGATCCTGGTGATAGTTAATATAAGAAAATAATTAAATTCCCGATATCAAGCCTGAGAAGAATCACTTCATCGAAAGGGTCTGTTATACGTTCTGCTGGATGACAAACGCATGTTGCCATGTTGATGTTGATAGTAGACTGAATAGTGCCATAAATGCTGTCAATATAGTCCAATCTTGTACGAGGCACGTAAGTGACACAAAAGCTGCATCAGCAGAGCCTGATTCTAAAATACTAAACTGCATAGTGAAGCTAACGAATTTTCAGCGGTTTTCAACCAAATTAGGATGTTTAAACTTTTTGATTAAGCGCAGTTCAAAGCTACATTTGAATTTTAGTTGTGGATGGTTTAAAGTAGATGCCCGTCACGAGTAATCAAACACGAACTGCTGACATCGTTCCTTAATGGTCCAATCCTAATCAATCTCTTCGAGAAAACCAGGTAGGTCATGTGGATTGCTTCTGGCAGTCTTTAAGACAATAGCGGTAAAATTTGAAATTTCATCTGGTCTTTAAAATCCCCAAAAAGTTGAGAATCAGCCTTTATAGCACCATCAAAAGTAGATCAATACGATTAAAAGCGCCTCAAGACGCTGGCCCATAGCAATACTTCGGTGGACTATATCTAAATGCATATTGTTTACGCCCTGGATCTCAAGACGAAAGCGACTCTTTGTTACGATCGTTACATAGCACTTCCTGATTTACCTATAAACTTTCTACCTGTAAGAAATCGAATGTTATAGTAGGTACATCGTCTGTTTTCGAAAAGCTTTTAAGTTACGATCAAAAATGGTCTGCTCTTTGAGTAACGAGTCGAAATACCATTAGGTAGACAGTGGCTTATTGTTGTGTTAGATTAATCGTTGTAATAGCCATCGACGTCATTCGGTATATCTGCACGGTCACACTGGGCAACACCGCCCTATCTGAGGTCCTACTATTCGTTCTCTACAGAGACGACTGAACAGTGTATCGGGCTTTCTAGGCTGTTACAAACGACTGGATTTATTCCTGCTGTTGTGTAATTTCGTATCCGAATATCCAAAAAAAAAAAACTTTCTTAAGAAAGACCGTTGATAAGACTGTTTGGGAAAACCTTATTTTGAACAACAATCATCCTGTTCGTGGTCCAAAACATTTCACTGACCATCCATCTGACATCACCAAAATCTAAGCGTGGACAACCACATATGTACACCTCGATGTCTAATACCAGCTCCTATCGGCTGGACATTTAGATTAACTGTAGTCAATTCGAGCTCAAGCTTACTGCTAGCTTCCAATAAAATAAGGAGACAAACAAGTTTGCTTCATATATTTCATCGCGCCAATCATTGTACAGCTTATTTAATACCAATAAGAATTTGAAATGCCAATAAATCGTCCGGGCGTAACCTGTCTGTGTTACCATAAATGAAAACTCGTGTTTCAAAAGCCTATCCCTAATAAAAGATTCTCAAAAAGCGAAATTCATGCACATAACGACAATGAAGAAATTCACTCTCGTTGTTAATATTGCTATGCCGATGACATAACACATAGAGAAAGAATGATGTGATTAAATCTTAAACACCAATCAATATTGACATCTGAATAGAAAGAATATAGTACGAGGAGTAATGGTCCAACGCAAACATGAAAAAGAGACAAAAAAAAAAAACATTGAAGTTATTTGCTAAAGAAAATCGATGAGCTTAAAAAGTAGAAAATCTTTTCGGACTACCCGGATATAGATAGAAATACTACTCGGAATTAATTTTCAACTTTTTTTTTTGTACGTGCGAAAAGCTTCTGTAGTCCGACCATAGTGTTGGCGTTGCAATAAAAAAAATTGCGTTAGTAAAAGTTCAGTCGTTATTACGCTATTAGGCACCCATAGGTAATGTAAAAACTGAAGCTTTTTGCATAAGCCTTAAATATTCAGAGATAGATACCTTACCAGATACCTGTCATAATCGTATCGTGTAATAATCGTGGGCAGCAATTATTTAAAAAAAATAAGGATGCCTTCTGTCTATCAAAAACAAAAAGGCTAGTAGCACTAGCGATTTTCTGAATAGCTGTCTGGATATCGATAAAATCTGGTAATATTAACAATAATAAGATAACGATAGGTATCTATGTTTTGTTCAAAATAGTTATCGGTTAGTTAGCGGTTATTTTAAACCAATGAATGATACTATGAGCAATTAGCCTTACGAACGGTGAACAACGGCAGGATATTTTACGTCCCATTCATAGTCTTCGTTACTATTTGGTTTGGCCTCCGTTGAGTCCTTGTCTGGATGCTTTTATGAGCCGCATAACCATGGAAAATACAAACTGTCTGCCTATAGTTTGGCCTTCGAATATGCAAATGTTATAGCACACGACCGTTTGCGTCAAAAAAAAAAATGACAATTGCAGATTTTGAAATATTTTTCCCGAATATTATACTAGAACTTTTATTGTTATTATCTGTCTGAGTCATTTATGAAGGGTACGATATTCTCTGGGTGTTTAATTTACTTTGCTGAAATCAGTACAGCGTATTTTCTTTACGATATATATTTATGAAATTCTATATAATTTCAGTGTAGATACGCTTAACTCTATTAACTCAACTTAATTAAACTTTAATTGCAATTCATCTTTACTGATTCTTTAGAATGCTCAACTAATCAACGCGAATCAATCAAACATAGCCGGCTACAAAACTAAAATTCTAAATTGAGAAAACGGCGTTTTGTACATCAGGCAAATTTATGATGTAAATGTACAGGTATTTTGTTTAAGTTAACGAAAACAGTTCATAAGGGGAGCATTTACATGTTGTTAAAATTATCAGGCGGATCAGCTCATTATTTCACCTGACAGGGTTATAATGGTCAATTATGTGGTTGCCATGTTACCTTGTCCATCGTTCGTGCTCGTCCCGCCGATCAATAGTATGAAGCAATTCAGAAACAGAGGCCAAATATTACCAACGTGACGAGGTAATCTTCCCGTCCTATGTTGTGTCCCCTAATATCCTATGCCTTTTCTTCTTCTAATTATGTACAGATCAATCTTCCTCAAGATGCTGACTAGCGCTTATCTTCCACTGGACGGCCACGTCCTAGTCGCACTCATTTTAAGTATAGTGGGGTGGAGGTGGCTGGTCATGGATGTATGCATCCCAACATCAATTCCAGGGACTTCCTGGGCTTCTATTCATAAGAGTATTAGTATTACTATTAGCAGTGGTAGCAAATCAGAACGGATCAGTTTCAGTGCTGTAAGGACCTAAGCTAAAATGTCGCTTACCTCTAACCATCGCTATAACATATTTAGAATCGTTATTCGGTGTGTACATGGCTTAGGCCTAAAGATGGGTGAAAGGTATCTAGCGATCAATGGGGTTCTATACGTAGCTGATATACACATCCACATTCACCAATTTGGACATACGTACATACTTACTTAGATAGAAAAGTACATCTACTGCACAGAGACAAAGGCGAATGAATCCCTGGGTGGCAAATCTTCTTTTTATCTCGGCCATTACGCCTGATCAAATTCGGCTAAACTTCTCTTCTTTCTACTTCGTCGTGATGTTGGGCAATGATTACACTTGTCCTCCGGTCCAGCCACCGTCTCGCAGCAGCTCGCCTGCTCTTAGATTTCGCATTGAGATCCATAGGAAGAATGAGTAGCCGACCTAACCAAGTATATGTAATGCAAGGGGTTGACCATAGTGAGCAACGTTTGACCAGACCACCTATAAAGTGTGGGGTGGGATGGGAAAGGGAAAAAAGAATCGAAGCAAAACGCCGTCCGATGAGATGGAAAAGCACCGCTTTATCTTCAATCGTTCGTACGGAATAATCCTGGAGCATGCCGATAAGCGAGAACTGTAGTAGACATATTTGAACGCACACAAAGGACAATGCTATAGATTTCGGCTATTTTGCGGTTGATCTCTGACCATTAGTCGAGCAGGCACTACGGGCGCCGTTTGCCACCATTTTATTCTGCACTGTGGACTATAACCCAAGCGAAATGGGTGGGAAGAGATAACAGCAGCAGCAGCAGCAGAGCCAGCAACAATTATTCGTCCGTGATCACTCTAAATATCAACTTCGTAGTTGACCTTCTACAGTAATCATAGTGAAGTGGTCTATTTCTTCTTAAAATCCCCGATATGCGCAACTTGGCGAATATCAGGGATTTCAGGTCCTAGAACACTAACCCAAGCTTTTCTGTTGCTTCAATATATTCTGACCAAATTATGTAATCGATGTGTCTCTTTGCATCTTTCTGGGTCAATCCGTGAAATGTTATTATTTGCGTCTTAGCAATCTGCCCTGAAAGAAAATCTAGGAAAACTATTGCACTATCCCGCCAAGTTAGTAAGCGGTTTACCTATAGCTGTGCCAGTTAATACGCGGCCAACCTAAATTAGAATTGGAAATCCGAAAACATTAAACCGAGAGAAAACTATCAACAGTAAAATCACTCCAGGTACAGATTCTGTGGAAGAGTTCAAGAAGTTGGTTGCAAGAAATGCTTTGCATATCTTTGTCCTACTATTCAACCGTCTATCTTGAACGAAGCTTTTTGAGCTCACGTCTTCTGTTTTCTGCTAGAACTCGAACTACCACAGAGATAAGCTTCGTCGAATTTTACGACGCACCAAACACTGATTAAATAATTCAGTAAGAACCAACTTAAACGAAAGAAACATTACCGTCAGGGTAAAATATTTATTCCGTAATACCAATTTCGTCTACAGATTCATGGCAACCTACATCCGATTCACAAAGTTGTTCCCACATCACTGACAAATATTTTACGCTCCGCTACCCACAATCCTAGAACAAGCGAATTGTTCAGTCAATAACAAATACTGCATTAAAATACTAACAAAAATAGAGCTTGTTTCGTTGTTGTCGTCGTAATTGTATCAGGAAGACACAAGATCGCTGTCGAATCGTCTACTATTGACATGTTCTACTTGTAAATCAAAATACCATACGGTGTTTGATCTCAAGAGATCATCACGAAGACGTTACTGTTCTACATCATTCACGAGCGTTCTTTCAGGTTACAAATCTTGAAACAGAAGACGATAAGATGGTTCAACATGGTGAGTCCTGGTTGAGGCATGACATGTCATACCTTCGCACATTTCCTCCATATTTCTATATTCGTATGAACAGAATACTACTATTAGAAAAGGAATCGCATTGTATCACATTATAAATCTTAGCTTGTAACCTAAAAACAACTTTTTTTCCTAACTAAATTTTCCTTTAAAAATTTAGTTCTTCGCAAGCGATTTCTGTAGATCTGAGGTTGTGGTTAAGGTAGATCGTGTAGATCCCAAGCTCTCAGCAGCAAATCGCGCCATGTCAGCTAGTTAAAAACACTTCGCACATACGAATTTCGTATGATTCACTACTAGTACTTAGAAAATAATCACTTCTACACACCATTTTTATATTTGCGTTATACGCTGCGGCCGGAAAATTGACGAACATCTAGTAAATTCATCGGTTTAGTTGGCCACCAAGAAGGCTGTCTTAAGTCGACGTCCCCCGACAAAAACAGTTATCCTGCACGATCTATACGACCCATAGTTATTGGCAAAGGCAGAAAAATGCACGTAGTGAAAATAAGTTTCACATTAATTTAAATAATACGTACGCACCGCACAGTTATGTTGGCAGGTTGCTAAAATATACAAACGTACAACTAAGAGACAAGTAAAACAACTTGAACTTCTGAGTCGACTAAATTCCAACCTGTCTTATGTCCTAATGTTTATATAGTAAAAAAAATTTTCGCTGAACAAGTTTCCTATACATAATAGTACATACATTTCAGCGTGACTAAAACAGAAAGATAATAATATTGTGTAAACTCTATTAGACAGACAGACAGACAGACTGACTTCGTGGTACTTTATCTGAATTTGGTTAGATAGAGTCAAAATAAAGATGCACCTTTGTTTTATAGATCTGAGAATTGACTTTGCAATTCTTGTGGCTTGATCACCCGAAAGCTGCATGTTAGATCCGCAGACACCATCAAGATTGCTGCACAATTACTAAATTCATTGCAATAGTTCGGAGCTGAAAATATCGTAACGAGCCGACGGTCCCCAAAAAACTCGTAGCCATCCTGAACAACCTATAAATATTTAGTCACTCAGTAAATTCACACAGTGCCTAGGCATACTGCAGCTGTATTGTACCAGAGAGCTGAGAATTTGTATCATTAAAAAACCAAATCGATGGTGCAGAAACGGTAGTGTTTTACATCACGTATGGGTTAATGAGTCAACAACTATTCACGTAGTAACACGACTCATTCCTCATGCAAATTAAGTACAAAAATACCCTCAAAACAGATTACTTAGTCCCTAACCTGACAACAATATAACCAACCGCACATATTGAAACTGGGGGCGGCGTTATTCTTGGTGCTGAAAGGCAACTAAGTCTTCCCATAAAAAAAGAAAAAAAGTACAAACTCATCATGTTTGGAACAGGACTCCGTTCGGCTTTTAAATAACCTGTCGAGGTATTCTATAAAGCAAATCGAAATATCTACAACGAAACACCAATATCTAATAATCCTAGAAATTTCAATGCAGAAGAGTGTCTAGTGTCACTACTACTTGGTGAAATGATCCTAATTTTGAGTGAATAACAAGATCGAATACGTTCAACTCTACAAAATGAACGGACTCTTCGGACGTCGCTTAAGATTAGTGTGTATCTACTAGTGTGCTTAGTACAGCAACGCTCGTTGCTGCCTAAAAGCCTTAGCACAAGCTGATCACAAAAGTCACTCTCGCTGAAAATCCAAGCCAAAGTAAGACGAACTTCTATAGGAGCAGCTCTTGCCAAAAGCCTTGACAAAGAAGAGATGGTTCTTAACTTCTAGAGTGAAACAGGGCTATAGCACTTTGTTACTCAACGAAAAATCGCATTATCCACATTGTAGTTCCTGTAATGTGTGATGATTCAATAAACAACTCGTCATGCTCCAATATCCAGGTGCTATGCGATGATCACATTTACGATCTTACGCAACTTCAAATCATAACGTCTGTCGTTGCTGTACCTAGACCTGAAGAATAGCAATTGCAATAGCATGATTTATAATTTAACTATCGACTGGAATCACTGTTTTTTCCACTTGCCGTAATGTGAGCACAGCGTACAAATACTTTGTTTAGTGCGCCATATCTCGACGAGAACTCCTAATTCCAACAGCAATTGACCATAGTTTATGTAGAGCTATCATCAAACGTACTAGTCGTAAACTTAGAACAGAACGTAATGATGAAGCACGAACTTCTCTTCAGAAAAGCCGCAGAAGATGCTGGCCAGAAGAAAATTCATCATAATATTTTTGCTGCCATGCGAAGAAATCAAACAACGCGAAGCCCTGTCCGTCGATGTTCCAAATAACCTGCATAGGATTAATGACGTTGTTACCTCTTCCGTCAATGTCAAGCGCTTGGTATAAAACTAGCAAGCAAGCGCAGCGAGACGCCGGGATGTTTTTTTGCTCTTGTTTTTCGAAAACGCAGAATTAATACTAGCCTATCAGATCAGGTAATAGTGTAACCGAAGCATTCCGCTACCATGTAGCTACCGGAAAAGCAAAATGACTAGGCTTCCTCGAAATCTATCCACCGCCAAACCAACATCTAAGTGGGCATTACAAAGACTTTGAAAAACAAATGTTTTTTTGCGATTTTCAGAAATGAAAATTATAGACCATGCACGAGATTGCGTAAGCAATTGTCTTCACGCTGTATTATATGCTTTACCAGCATGAAACAGTCTTCAGCAGAGATAAAAGCATGATCTCAAGGATCGAAGGCAGTTCATATGACAGGCTGCCTATTGCCTATAATCAATATTAGAACACATAGGCGCAGAATACGATGATGTTACGACGCGATTTGAAATGTTCAAACGAACATGCTTTTGGTAAGATTTAAATAAGTACCCCGAGCAGTAAAGATAATTAAGCGAAAACTTACTGCAAGGCGCGCAATAGTCAGCAGCTCGTTTAGTTGACGTACGAGCAGCAACGCTCGTTCTAATCTATGATCTTAATGATGTAAACAATTAAAACACCCTTTATGAAAAAATAGCAACGTTATTATTATGTTAAATAAACATGTCAGTGCTGTTTGTCCTTTCAGGCGCATGAAAAAAATATTGACCAAATACTTGCTTTCATTGAAATGCGGCTTATAAAAGGGCGATAAATTTATCCCGAATACACCGTTGATGGACACGGATTGGAAATGTCCAGACAGATACGCACACAAAAAGAATTAATATAGAAATGAACAGCGTTCTACTGTATACCTCTACATCTGTTAGATTTGCTTAAGAGAAACTTTGTGCCTAGCTTTCCAATACGGGTAAAGCCGATCCTTTTCAGGGTCGAAGGCTTGGATCTCACTCCTTTCCAATATGCAATCTATGCAGTTGAGGTAACAGATGATGGATGTTGGAACGCTTACCTGGTGAGCCCGACACAACAGGTCGAAGTTATTCTTTTCTAGAAACGCGTTTAACTGTGGGACTCCGAACAGGTACGATACTCCGCGATCACTCCGCCTCCATTCAGAACCCTTTTGTTCAGTATAATAAAAAAAAAAAACACAAAAAAAGCGTTTACACGTAAACGTTCCCTACGTTTGCGTCTGGAGTATATTTGCTTAAAGTAATCTAGGCTGTAATAGAGTCGGTCCAAAATACGGACTTACATACTATAGCAACCGTTATGACTTCAAAAAGTATTGCGCTATCTTTTATCTTGAAATTAAGAAGGTTATTTGTTGGGTGAAACAAATATTAATTGCTCACACCAGATGCCGAACACGATGCCTATTCCTTAAACTATAGACCATCATACTGTGCGAATCGTAGAAATAAGCGAATACATAATATATACGGACCACTGTGAGACCCTTAATTTCTCCTAATAGCGTTACCATGTAGGGGTCCGCCCACAGGAGATCGCATACAAGTCCCTCTTGGGGAACTTCGGGAATCGGCCGATCCATGCACGCAACTTGCCTCAAATCCCGTAGGTCAGGTGACAGACCACCATGACAGCAAAATATTTTTTCGCCCACAACAGCTGCCAACGGTAGGTAGCCGAATACCTCATTAATGCGATGATACAGAATGGCGTCAAACCTATCCACATTATGGAGAATAACTGATTTAATAAAGTTATGTTCACGTGTTCATTCTGCTAGCAAACAAAGTGATCAGAGTACGCTGCTTAACTATCACCTGTGGTATGTTTCTAAGAAAATCGTTAGCGACGTTGAACATCCCAATATAACTAGCTTCACCTCCTAAAGGTACTATTAAGCTGAAGATAGAATGAGGTTGTTCTACTATAATACACTAATGTTTCCTACCGTATAATACACTAGCTGTGAAAACCGTACCGATTCATGCATTCAAGAAAAAACCCGTAAACGGCATTTATCCGTAGGGATTCGTGGTTGCCTCGGAGAAGAAAGACGTGTTCAGGGAAGCGAATTTTGTATATGAAAAGCAAAGCGATTACTTCCAAAGACGCTCGGCCTCGATCAACGTAGTCGCCCAAAAACAAATAATTTGTTTTAGGCGGGAAGCCACCCTGCTCCAGAATTCTTAACAGGTCTGAAAATTGACCTGCAAAAAAGTTTGGCACGCATTTCGATCGAATCAAGATATTTAAATATTTTATATCATGCTTATATCAAACATATGAATATACGCAGCAGAACTCTCGCCCCTCTATATCACTTCCCTGACTAGAATTTAAACGCTTCTCAAATGGTCGAATTGTCATCTAGTGCGCGACAACTCCGGGTTCATTGCCTCCAAGGTAATTAATTTTCAGACGTAATGTCGACTTGAAGAGGTTTTAAGCCTAGCAACATAGAGCTAGCAAGAAGAAACTAACCGTGGATGTCACCAACTATATGCACTGGCACATCCAGATCGAGAAGCGTTGGTTGTGAATAGAAAATTGGTGTGACAAGATCGCACAAATCCATGATTTCCCATTTCTCCATTTTGCAGAACGCGCTCTTCATCTGGAATTCCAAACAATTGCTCACCAACTTTGATTCCCCATCATTGTCTTCTGTTGACCACGATACCTTGAATGCCTCGGTCACTTCACATTGTTTATTAGATATATATATATATATACATATATCTAATAAACTAAATATACATAATGTAGATATATATATATATATATATATATATGTAATCTTTTAAACTGTAAAGGTACATTTCGACGACAATACACGACTGTGGCATAATACATTCTACATCATGATTTCAAAACATGGTTGACTATCAGTCGAATGTAATGGCTGTTAATTTTTTATAAATGTGCCCCATACGACAACAAGAGGATACATCCTTTTTTTTAATTATAAAGTGAATTTGTTTACTTAGAGAAATTGAACCGCAATGAAGTCTGGCTCTTTCCATTGTGAATGTAAATCACCTTTTATCTGTGATCAGCCCTTATACTTGTCTGAGTGCTTTACAGATTTTATAGCAGAAAGCTCAAGGAAAGTACCCTTTGATAACCAGCGGAAGCCAGTTAAAGAAAAAAAGCGAAGCCAATATGCAAATAAGAGCCAATTTTCACGGGCAGTCGAATCTCGGATTAAAATGATTTTTACAAGCGCATCGTTTCAAATGGTACCGAATCTCAAATTACGAGTTAAAGTCAATGGTGAACATTTGAAACGACACTCATATGTGCAATCATCAAATAGTTTTTTGCCTTACCATCACGGCATTAATCTTACTGATCACCACCCATGACATACTTTTATACGCCAACATGAGTTGTTAGAAAACAAATAATGGAACATTACAAGCCTCAAATCGTGGTGGTGACTAAGTTACTCGCCGTGCACTTTATAACAATTCTGAACGTACGCTCTGATTTCCCACCATTAAAAAGGCTGCAGCTTGCAGAAATTTAAAGGAGCAGCAATTAACAACTGACCTTGCGCAATGTCAGCAATCGTCGTTCTAAGCAGTCAAGATCGAGTTTCCCGCGGGGGTCTTTGGCATTATTGATCCGTAAATGTTTTTTGTTACTGTGCCTTTCCTTATCTTTTTCACCGGCTCGCTCTCCAAGTGGCTTTGTTCGTGGTTCGTGTTTTTTTTTATCTGTTGGGGTTGTCATTTCCAGTTTTTTTTTGGCACCACCGGATCCGCCTTCTTTGAGCCCCTTTGAGGCCATTAGGACAGCGACACCTTGTTGCTGCTTCTTTTTTGCAGATACTATTTATTGATTTGTCGGGCGTGTTCAATTATGACGTTCGATTAGGCAGTGGGTAGGCTCCGTGCTGCCCGCATCTGAACGGTGTATACACACTGAGCAGAGATTGGTGAGCACTTACAGGGTTGGAAAGAAGGTTCCCATGTTCGACTTGTACTATGACCGCCTACAACATCGCAAAACCGGATTCCGAAAGCGGCAAAACAGCTTGTTATTACTCTTGTATAGATTATTTCAACTTTCAAATGATAGCTTATCGTAGTTGCCTTGTGCGACTTCCCTCCCTGACGTCCGTTTGTAGAGGTTTGTAGAAATCTGGCACAGAGAAAAGTGGAAAGGGATATAGGAAAGCGACAGCTAGCCCGCCTAATTCAAAATCTGCTGGGTGCCATGGGTTATCAATAATATCAGGAGCTGTAAACAGAATGATATGCTGGTATCGGGCATTTGCTATACAATCTAGATATGGCCTGGACAGGCGTTAAATTAGTATAATAGAAAACTTCCGTGTCGAATAAAACCGATGGTCTGTCGAACGACATGTCTACTGCCGGACAGCAAACTGTCTTGGAACCTACCTGATTATATCCATTGGCCTATAACTCTCAGATGGCATAAACAATAAAACATGTGCGCCTAGAACGAGTAGGAATAGTACATCGTTTAGGTTACTACGAAGGAACGGAGCGTAATTAAAAAAAATGTACACAGATTCCTTTTCTGAATAGTACAGTGGTGACGGATCTGAGATAAAGAGTAGATTGCCAGCTCCTAAGCTACACCTATTTACGTTTACTGTTTTACTATCACTTCCGCATTCCGTAACAAATGTTTGTGTTCTTCTTATTTAGCGTACCTACTTTACTAAATTCATTTTAGTTTGGATCTCTAAATACAAATTGGAGGAAAACTCTAGAAAACTGTGCGCTACATTTTCTAATTATTACTTAACTGTGATATGAAATCAACAAGGTCTTTTGCTTACTGTTTGAGTAGACGGCTTAACCTCCGTTGGCCAGGCAATGTTGAATGCGCAGATTCTTAAACTCCTTAAAACTCCTCAGTAGACTTTGCCTGACGGTTTCACTTTTTCGAAGCAGCTGAATTAGACTGTCCCTTAGAATCAACTAGGAAATAATGTATTCTATACGAAGGTAAATGTTACAGTCATTTAAACTTCTAATCGACTCTGCAGGAGGTCCTTTAAAAGGTTATGCCGGGACCGTATGGAAAAAATGTCTTCAATGTACCATCATAATAGTCTACACTTATTGCGCGGTAGCCATTTATTTATATGTAGTGCTATACTTCTGGTAGCAGCAAACTTCACCGTGCCATCCTAATACGCATTATATTATGATAGGCCTTTCATGTTTGTTTATGATCGTTGCCGTTTCTTTTAATTAAAGTAGCCAGAGAAGGTTTTGCGTTCTATAGGTATGTGAGAAAGCGTAACTATAAGCTCCGGCAGAGTTGATTGTAAACGTAGTGCGGATCGGAATTTAACATCGGAGTAATAGGAAAAGCTATATAATAAAAAAAAAAAAAAGAATAATACCGCTGATGTATACAAACAGTAAATCTGAGGCCGATTTGTTGAAACAGTATAGAGAGCAATCAATAAAAATAAAAAGTATATCTGTTGAATAATCAATCATTACGTATCACAATTCGATCAAAAATTCAAGTGACAAGAATACGTGTGGGAGATAGACAACAAAATAAGAAATAGTTGCATCTGCTGCGTTCTGTTTTCGTTCGTCAGCCATGTTGATTGATGATAATAATGATGTCGAGTTTGACATCAGTTAATCTGATACAGCGGCCAGCCCATCGACTTTGATACATACGCATAAGGCACAAACATACAGGCCAGCTGGAAATCGCACATAATACGGTGCCCAACTCAAATCATGGGGGAAAAGACAAGGAACTAATGAAAGTTTAGAGAAGTTGAAGAGTAAGTGCTCTGCGGATCGCTGAACTATTAACATGCCCGATAAGCATGATACGAATCATTTTCACCAGATTGTACGATTATGAGCAGGTGATTGGCTTGTATTTGGAATTTAGGTAACTGTAACCTCTGTGTTGCGAGTTTTACGTTCGATATCACCATTAGGCATTCTATCAGACAGCAGGTAAATGTAACTCACTCACGCCGAGAAAAACGGCTTAAGTTCACAATTCTGCGTAAAAACAAGAGTAGGGTCCTTTGACCCGAGCCCAGAGGCTTGTTCTTATGAAGAATTGTAAACTTCTATTTACCTAGCACTTCATATAAATCAATTGGCTATGAAAATTCATTCTTATGAGAACATCTTACACCATGCTTGAGAGACGTGTTTGTCATTTCATTTTGCCAATTTACGCCACCGTTACCTTTCGATCTCTGATAACTTCCATAGCATAAACTCTTATTGTTACAGTGACCAAACCTAGGGCTGTACCACTATCTTTGATGGATACGCTACGACAATACTTTTCGGTGGACAGACGTAAGGGTGCACTGTATATGAGCACGTATAGATAGACTGTGCGTTAGTTGCTAAATGCAAGAAATGGGATTTTCAGATGCATCGTGAACATCAGTATTGAAACACGAGGGACTCGAGAACGGTTGGGCAACCTTAACGCCTACGTATCACAACGACAACTTCTGCAGAAGTAACGGCAGAGTGACAAAGAACATGACCCTAATGATGATGGCCGCTTCTTTTTCATTATTGCTGCCATCGTTAGAGCAGATCATGCGCATGAGCCGACGTCCTAAGCCAATAGTCACCTCTGCGGCTCTCCTTATTCTACTCGTCGTCGCCATTTTCACCTGTGAGCTTCCGGTCTCTTGGGCATTAGATTCAAAGGCGCCCAACGTCTGCATCAAACATGAACGGTAAACCAACGTAAATACGCATTTGATTTTGCATCGCTGATTCAACGGGAACCTTTTTTTTTTGCTAGATATATTATGTAAATACTTCTGTAGTTCTTTCAATTAGACTGGAACGAAGTAGCGTATATATGTTAATGTAGTGCAAACATATGAGACAAGGAGAAACTTGTTTCTTTAGTGCCTTCTACCTGCGAATAATGCAATTAAATTTAACTCACTAACAATATAATATCAGCCTGTTGAGCTGAAAACGAGCGAAGCAGGAACAGGCCTGTCATCTAGAATGTTCCTGCATCCATTTCCACCTGTTTTACAAATTGTTCGAATTTTCATGCGTTAATGTATTCTTCTCTCAGTTAATCGCCACAGGCTAAGGATGCAGGACCTGCCACGGAAACCCTAGCTCAGGCACGCTCGGGACAGGGCGAAAGTCTGTCCTATATAAAGATTCATTGCAACATATTAACCCCCTAATTTACACGGTATGCGTGATTAAATAAGAGATAATTATTGACCTAGTTTAATTGAGAGTCTGAATATAAATGCAACCCAATAAAAGTTCAAGACGCTTGCTAGGCAAAAAGAGCTGAGTAACTCAAATTTCTGCGTCCATTAAGACTGATAAAAACAAAATTAATATTTACATTTAGGATTCTAACAATTCATGAGAAAATAATCTTCACACGTTGACTGAGCGAAGAATAAATGCGTTAAACAAATAGATAAAATAATCAAACTCAATTTAGTTCGATATAGTGCAGTAAAGGTATTTTTTTTTCATTTACGATTGAAATATTATTATGAACTATTATGAAACTATTGTGAAACTTAGCTATCTCTATCAAATCCCTCGGCATACCTTTTGATTTTTGCTAATTCACTGAGACTAAATATTCCGGATATAATTATTTGTCATTTCTTGTTTAAATTTCTAGCTGAAGTCAAAGCTATGCATTATCCAACTAGAATTTGCCCCTGTTTTTAAATGAGATGATGTAGATCTTTGTTACCTAGGATTACGCCAATGCTCAAATCACGCCATTGAATGACTTAGGTTTTCTAAAAGTTGGCAAATCGATCGTTCCGCATATGCTATGCAATATCTGAAGGATGATTCCATACGCTCAAGATAAACAATATACTATAAGAGAGCTGAGTTTCGATGATCTATACGGATACTTAACGAATGGCAATACGGTCAAAATGTTCTCCATTGCTGAATCAGGCTAGCTTCAGTATGGACACAGGTTTTATACCGAATAACTGCGTAACATCGCGCTAAAGAAGTTTTACAGATTCCAGTTGTTTTTTTTTTTTGTATTAGATGATAATGGTAGGAGTTACGTTGTGTGGAGGTTTTGCGTAGTAGACAACATGTGCTAAGAAATAATAATGCTGCTTAACGGTAAATTTCCGTCACAGTCAAACGGAAGGCTCCTAGTAGTAGCGCTGCTAGATAATTAAGGTAAATGCGCTGAGCATAGATCAAAGTAGCAATGATAAATGTATAACACTTATGTCAAATGCTCAACTTAGTACCTGCTACCGATGAAGAAGTTTATATGGCGCCGTACAGGGGGCAACTTGTGTGTGCATATCTTTAGGATTCTCCTCATGCCGTTCGTTGATAATCTGAATCAACTAACCTAACGGATGGTCTTCTACAAGCTACTCAATAGCCTCATAGGCAAAAAGCAATCATAATATAATAAAGAATATTCATGTAGCAGAAGCGATGATCTCCAGACAGATTTTTGATGACAAATCTAAGACAAGCTCTTCTTGCTTAAAAATTCAAATCCCGATTATTAAGGCCAGTTGTTTATAAAGTTTCGTAAAGTAGACTGGTTCTTCTGGGTCCGTTAGGTAGCTTTGAGGGACATGTGGTGTAACGAAGTGTGCTTGCATAGGTAAACAACTCTGTCGACTTAAGGGTTCAATATAATGAAGCCAGGGCATGCATCTAAATTAACATAATTTTAAAAGCCTGTGGAGCCCTCAATTAAAATTATCCGTTTCATTTAAGGTGCGGTTCGGTTTTTTTAGCAGGTCGCGAGCAACAAAAAGACAGTAAATGTCAGAGTGGAACGTTTAACGTCTAATCAATGCCGCAACGTTTCGCCCTCAGTAAACATGCTGGCGGGCATCACTTGTGGACACACGCCTGAAAGCTCGCCTTGTAGTTCAGACCACGGATTTATGATCCGTTTACTTCAAATACAACAGATATATAAGGGATGTTTCCAATATAATGTTCGTTCTGACTAATAAATTTCCGCCGGAAAATAGCTGAAAATCAGGCAAATTCAAGCGATAAATAGCAGCCTTTGTTGTTTTATCTAGGCTAGTGAATATCGGTATAAGCAATACGCCTCTTTTGAGTTTGCGTGAAACGCACTCGGGCTACCATGCGATCTCTTTCATCGGGCAGCCGTGACACTAGGCTTCTTAATGTACATTGAAAAATATGCGACAGTAGAATTAATGCGTAAAAGCCATTTTTATAGTAGTTGTGTGATCTATGCTTAACCATAAACCAACCATAAAATATATCTACTTCGTAAACTTGATGTCAGATCGTGTGAGTGCTTAGAAAGAAAACATTTGCCTCCATACATGGCAGTTATTAATGCCTCTTTCCGAAGGCCTAGGAAAGCGATCATTGGAGTTATAGCGGATGACCATTAAATGAAGGTCTTGGGGTTTTTTTTTCTCAATGCCTCATACTTCGAAACAAACAGGAGAGGCAGTAAATAGCAGTTAGGTGGCACAAGCCTGAGGTTGTTATACTTTACGACACGTTCCTATAATTCTCTAAATAGGCATTAACATTTATTCGAGCTCCAGAAAATATTTAGACGATTCCCAACACCATATGTCGGATGGAGCTGTTATTAACTAAATTGTAATGTACAGCAAATTCAAAATCTTAGTCCTGTCGTCCATTCCATGTGTGTTGTTGTAGATCTTTGCCTACTTGGCTTCAGAAGTCCAGCACTACGATCTGTGTCAGATATTGTGATTGATCATCCCACTATATTGAGGAATATCACTCTGGAAAAATCATACACAGAATAGCGGCATTTTGTCTCGATGTGCTCGGTGACCTCTGCACAATCCAACCGCCGTGGGTAATCCTCGTCGAGCTTTATTTGGCCCCACGGCCCAGTGCGATGTAGCATTGTAGGGTGCAAACGAAAAATTCGCTTGGCGGCGCTCCATGTCAGCGTCTGCGAACTGGATAATACATCAAAAACTCTACTGCTTTTTTTCCGATGAATATTATCAGTTGCGGGTCTATTATAACCATCTAGAGTATTTTTATTGGGGTCCCAAAAAGATATCCTTCAATTGACTGTACGAGCTGGTTTAATGCTGCTCGCGTCCACGACGAATGGTTGCAACATTTTAAGTCTTTGCTAAAGGTTCGTGCCTTTCAGGATGGAAGGCAAGGTCTGTAAAGCCGAAGTGAAAATCGAGGAAAAAAACAGGCCTAAGACAAATATGTGACGTAATTTTATTTGCAGGCGATAAAAGGCAAGTTTGCAATTCGACTTGAAGTAATGAATGAAACTGTGACAATAATGAAACGAAAATTCGAGAAGTATGATACCACTATGTGCTCTTTGTAACTCGACAATGTGAACGAGGATCGTGACAAACAAGGTTCCAGGCAGGTCGATCTTATTGCCAGTATAGCGTGCCGAATCTGATACGTTTGTTAGAACTAGCTGGCATTCTTATCGCGAAAATTTCAAATACTTGCGCTGCTTTTTCATTTCGACTTATTTTTCCATCTTATCGCTAACGAGTATATGCGATCTTGCTTGTTATTTTAATAATTTCTTTTTTGTTTTATTAAAAATCATGCCTGAATGAAAAATTAAAGCGATATAAATAAAGTAAATAAGATCCAACGAGGTAACTTCTTGATAATTGTTCTATTATAGGTACAGTTAATTGAGTATTTTAAATGGGTCATTTTGATAAATAGAGTCGAGTTTTGTGCACAAACGGAAGTTTTTGCTGGTCAGTTCCACAAGCTTATTATCAATGCATCCAAAGTGTTCTTAAAAGCCCACTGAACAAATTATTAGAGATCGCTGTATGTCTATTAGAATAAACATCCTGTGATCAAGAAAGCTCAATCCAAATGGTAACTTCCAGTAAAAAGAATGAGGTTATACAAAATTTAAAAGGATAAAGATGAAGTTTACATCTTACGTATTAATTTGCCATTTCAATTAGGAAAATAAACTAAATAAAAATTCAGATTCTAAATTTGATGCGTTTGTCTGCCAAATAAATTAAGTTTAATGATGTGTAATTATCTTTTCTAGAATCAAAATTACAAACACTAGAAACAAAATAATGCTTCACTTCAATTTATCACATTAAATCTGTAATTGTCCAAGTGACAAAAAGGATATTTAATTTTTTAGATTTTCAAAATTTACGTAGTATAGAATATACTATTATTCGTAAAAATGTTTACTATTTCTTTCGTACTAAGTATACAATAACTATACTATAGACAGAGACCAACCTGACAAATCATGTAGTGATTTAACGAACGAGCAGTCTGCCATAACAGCGGTTTTGTTTACTTTCTTTATGGTTGTTTATTGTATGGCCACTTTGCCCTAAACTTAATGAATTGGTTATACAATCAAGTACCTGCCATAACTACTTATTCTTAATAATATTTTCAAATAAAGTTATTAGGACCAAAAGAGTGCTTGGGTTGGAACGGGGGGCCCGTCACACAATGGTAGCACCTCGAGTATACCACATTATTAGATGAGTTTATAGACATAGCCGCTTCATTCTTTTTTTCTGATAAAATGAAGATAATCTTGATTCGTTTGAAAGCCCACTAAAACTTAACATCTTTAAAGATTGCTAGAATGCTCTTTTTTTTTTTTTTTTTCTTCGCACCATTGTACCATTCGGTCCTTCATTTTGGGACCGATCCGTCTATGTTCTAAATGCTTTCACACAATAATATTAATGTTCGCGTCCATAACACATTAATTTTACGCTGGATTACGTAGAAATTAACTTTTATCATAGTTGTTTTATTGTTTGTATCATGTATGCATAAACATATATTGGGACGGTGGCTTTTTTGGTAAAACACTTTTCTCTACCAGGCTCTCAGGTATTCGCATTACGCCTGCAGTGGCAATATTCGCTCAAAAGAAGTGATAAAAGGTGATGTTTTAAATTTACCTCGGGTAGGGACTAAATTAAAGTGAATGAAGATGTAGCAAAGAATAGGGTAGTTTTTGCTTGTATATGCATCGCCTTACCGCAACAGCGATACGGTTCTCTTTAATTCTCTTCTACAAATATGATTTTTAGGTACCTTGCCAATGAGACGATAGCATTCCGCAAACCCTACCAGGTGCGAACCTATACATGGTGCTTCGCTGTACCGCCGCGATGCTCCAAATACCGAACGGACTACACTACAGCCTATAAACAGGTTGGCAAAAACACCGCAGTGTTCAAACGTTTTCGGCATTACTCCCGGCTGATGATTTTCTTTCTTTTTTCATACCATACAATCATCTATGAGACACCTACTGAATTTGTCGACAATAGTGTTAGAGAAACGTGCTATATTCGTGCTATATATATATATATATATAATCGATGCCTAATATACAAACAGGGAAGAGATTTTAGCACTTAGATACTAACGGCGATATCAGACATGTCTGCAAATTAGAGACGATCTGATATGAAAATTCCGGACATCGAAGACTCTTGAACTGTACTTCAATAGACGTTTCAACATATAAAAGGACATATTTACTTGAGAATTTAAGGATAAATACGATTTAATTTTTTTTTTTTAACATATCACAGGTTCAACGTGAGCGAATTCGTAATGCGCCGACGTGCTGCAAGGGTTACGTTGAAAGTAGTGATGGCGAGCGGTGCATACGTAAGTATCTACTATCCGGAGCTTGGTTATGGTGTATCAGTCAGTGAGCGAGTATACATAAGCAATCAATCAGCGTGGTTGGCTTAAGGTCGCCGGATCGATTCCGTATCTAGATGGATAGATGCCGAACACAGCTCATCGACTCGCTCGGCATTGATGCCACGCAGCATGGCGACGATGATGTTTCAAATGGCATGTACACGGGCGTCTGCGAAGTAATATAGACGTACGAGATTGCGCGTGTTTTGGAGCCCTCACATGATTTTTTTGCTCGGATTGTATGACAGTTTCGAACGGCATAGGGTGACGTGATCTCTTTGTCACGTACCGTGCAAGCGAGCGTATACAATATTGATGAATAAGGTAACTTCTTGCCAGCCCCTGATGCGATTGCTGATGGCAGTTTCGGATAATGAGTTTTAAAAAGGAGCGCCGTTCTTCGTTCCAGCTAACCAAAAGAACGATCAAAAACTTGATAAGAAATTCGTGCTTTTTTTTTTATAATTGGACCTAGCTTTCACCCTTTCTTCAACTACACCTTTGCCAAACCAGCGTTCTTTTTTATTTATAACGAAATCGGAGACCAACATAACATATATATATATATATATATAGCTAATAAAAGTAACGAAAACGTATAGACCGTTGATTTACCAAACGCAAGACATAGATACAAAAGTAGTTTAAAGAAGTTTAGCTCCAAGGCCATGACCTGAAGAGCGTGTAGATCATAAACAAAAACGCCAACGTGGCCAGCATGTGCAATGATGCAGCAGTAGAGCCCTAGGGTAACACCACCCAGAGAATGATTAATAATACCTAGTGGCACCTGGTTGCAAAAATGAACATCCTAGAATATTTTGAAGAGAATAGAACCATATGCTTATTAAACTCGTTCTTTTTAAATTCATTTGTTAGCGGCACTTGAAAACACGTTGATATGATACGACTATAGGTAATCGAATTTAGCTAAATTGTCAAGTTGTGATAAGTAAACAAAGGATAAACGCAAAATGCCATTTAAGGCTAAGGACGTTGTCAAATTCTGTGGAAAATAACAAAGTCCCGTTGGAAAGTACTTGTCCATTAGTCATACTGTGAAATTTCTCATTTTAAATAGGTCAGGGGAAGACGCAACTGTTGATTTGATTTGTCGTCTGAGGCTCTATAGGCCAAATCTGTTGGTTGTACATATACACACACATGTTTCAGTGGTGAAACTGACAAGCGACCTGATCGACAGATCAACGATAGTTTTTTCAGCCGATTTAATTAAGCATGTCGTAACGTATCGAAAGTCAACACCGTTTAATGTATACTTCTGCTTACGAACAGACGCATGCACCATTAGCATCAGGATTCTACCTTATAAGAAAAGTTTAACACTTCAAACCAGCGGCAGCTTTAAATTTGATTAAGTAGTGGACAGGAGCAGGGCCTTCTTTGTACTGTCCGTAAGGAATGATTAATCAATCCCAAAGACGCTCTGGTTCTATCGCTATTTCTTCACAGAATAATTCTTCCCTATTATCCCTTAAGTGTCTTCATAGCTCTTAAGAGGTAGCACAGCCGAGTCAGGCTTCTGATGCAGTATCGAGCAGCTCGGCACCCCTAGCCTCCCATATTCCTCGTATGTCCTTTCTTTTCATGCCGACGTCATACATGGGTAGGGGGCGGCTGCCTTTGAAGCTTTCTGTTTTGGTGCACAGAAAATTTTAAACGACCCTTTACAGCTGCGTACCTTAAATGTCCGATGGCCCAGTTATTCAGAAGGGACCTAGAATGATGTCAACTGCTATGACGCTTAACATTGAAAATACTGCATCCAATATATTTAAACGACCTTCATTTTGATAACAAGAGCAACCACTTTCAGATCGGTAAATTTCATTCAATCTGCGCCAATAGGTAGGCAAAGCTGCGTATTCACGCGGTTTCGAAGTTGTCCTCTTCTTTTTTTAAAATTTTTTTTTAAAAAATAAAAAAAAAATGTTCTAGTTTTTGCGAGATTTTCCTACGTAAAACAGAGACAGTTAATGTTCGATTGGTGTGAGGTATGCGGCCAGAATTGGTAGCACAGTATGGAGGTACTGTATATCAACCTGGTAAAATGTTTCTGTGAAAAAGTCATCAGTGGCAGCTTCATTATGTTTTGTGAGTTTTTCTATTTACATTATTTTCAGTTCATTAGAGAAATTAAATCAATTCAACATTAACGCTCTAGATATAATTACGCAGCTTTGTGTATGGGTCGGACGATGCTAGTCAGCCGCGCGCCGTGACTTTATTTAAACTTTAATCTGCGATTTACATAATAGCTATATCCAATAACTCTATGATTCGTAATTTTTAATCGTACATTTGGAGAATAACTTCTGGTCGTTCGTCCGGCGTCCCTATTGTAAGCCGCGGATTTGAATGAAAAAAAAAAATAGAATCTAAATTTGTACCATGGTAAATTAATGGCTGTCGTATATTTGTGAAATTGCAGCACTATGCAGTAACCCTTGTCTCCATGGCACCTGTTCAGGACCAGAAACCTGTGACTGTCTTCCTGGCTATGGCGGTCCCACCTGCAATTTTTGTAAGATAATTTCTTTTTTCGGAACCGTTCACGTTATTATTTTAGAGTAATCGTATTTTTCCGCATTCGACGAGCGTTAGCCAAAAGGTACACTTTGGTTCCTTAGGAAAAACACCATCAACGCCATTCTAATATTTACCATTATAAATTTTATTTGACATTGGTATTATTATTTTTTCTTCCGCTACTGAAGTGGTACGAAGGTATATTTTCATGTACTAGCTTATCCTAACAGGTGAAAGCGTACGCTTGTGTTCTATTTCATGCTGCATTTCAATCTGCAGTGTTGCACAGTAAGTACAACTTAAATGGTCATAATTAGCTCAGATGGATGTAGCCGTCTATCGATTCTGCACGGAATACGTTCGTATGTATTTATGATATAATCAAGATATTTTTTCTCAACTATTTCAGCTCACTCTAAGGTTCGGCAATACTTTCGAGTATTCACAGAGACCTAGGTTATCGTTGGGATTTGTAAAATAAACAATCAGACCTTTCTAGTTCACGCTGGTGTAGTGCTGTTAAATCGGCTACAAGAATGACTCAACTTGACGTTCGATAGCCGTTTCTAATTGCCATTCCTTTACAAGATTAAATGTTTATTTATAAAGAGCATTTAGTTTACAATTGAGTATGAGATTAATGCTAACCGCAACTATCGCGGACCAGTTAGCTTACCATCGAATAATAATAACACATAAAAACAGATGACGATTTTTAAATCTAGAGGAAAAAACCAGACAATAAGTAAGGCGTATATATTTGCAACATGCATACATATGAATGAATGTATCATGAATCGACTTAATTTAGTATTGTATTGTCTGGTAGGCGTGATACTTGTGTGTCTATTACTATGTAGGCACCGTGATAGTTTTCTCTCATAAAATGTCACCACCGTGCTAACTGTTTATCTCTCGCGCTGTTCTCTTTTTCCTGCCTTTAATTTTCTCCCGTCTCTCCTGCTGTCGCCTCGTTTCGCTATATTGCTGTTGTTTATTTAGCGTGTCCCGCGGGCATGTGGGGCGCTGAATGCGAACGTGACTGCCCCTGTCGAAATGGGGCAAGGTGCGATCCGCTGACTGGAGCGTGCGCTTGCAAGCCCGGTTGGCAAGGTGACCACTGCGATCAAAAGTGCAACGACGGCACATACGGGTAAGTGTAGTTGTCATTATGATGCTATTTAGGACATTATCATACGACAGGGATTGATACTAAACTGTATCGCTGCTGCTCGGCAGAGCATGATTGTGTGCCGCAAAGAGTGACCAGTGTGTTATGATAAGATAATGAGCATTCAATGGAAATACTCGTTGCCTCACACCTAATAACTAACAATGGGTGTCCTTAGTGGGTTATTGTCATCTTCAGGAATCGAATATTCGAGCCCAATAGATAAATGCAGATTGTAACAATCCCAATGTATCGAACACAGAACAAAAGCGACCCAATAAACCCGATCTTTGGAAAAACTCACAGGCATTAATTATGAGCGCCCTTGTATTTCACGCTCATCAGCGCAGATTTCGCTAATTAAGTCACAAATAAGAAGACTTTAGTTATCACCGATGATCTCTGCGTCAGCTTTGACTGCATTTGTAAGCTGCTATATTTAGGGGCTAAAACAAACGCAATAACTCATTGTTGGAGCTAGGACAGAATTTGGCTATGTAGTGACCATCGCACAAAAGATTACCATCTTGTCCTGGCTAAACTGTATTTTCACTGCGGTAAACAATGCACTTTTAAACTGCCTGGGGGCTGGATTGACCCCCCCCCCCCTCAGGTATATGTATTGTTGCGAACGGCACTTACCTGCATGAGCATATACGTCCATTCCACGAAGTTCCAGATTTTATTTTAAGTTCCAGAGTTTAATTCGACTAGATATCGAATCGCACAGCTGGCATAGAATATTATGCGCAGCTAAATTACCAGAGCAATTACATAAGGAACGATATAGCTTTTTAAAATCCCAATTCACTGCCTCGTTTGTTAAAATCATTAACTTGAATTGGACAAGTGAACGGGGGAGCAAGCCTAAACTTCTATACTACCGGTACAAGACTAATCATTTCTGATTTCATACTAATAATTTTAGCCATAGCTGGGTAACTAAGCTGGTGTTAATGAAATTCGTTTATCTAACTGGACCTCTTCCTTTAAACGTTTGACCTGTCCCGTGTGATGAATGGGCTTCTAGAATTCTTACAATCGAGAGATTGACCTAACTGGCGACTTCTATTAATCCTAAACCTATCTATATTTCGCGTTCCTGTGGAATTCATAACCTGCATAGAGACACGGTTCCTCTGTGGCAGGCAGTCGTATAAGTTAGATATGTCCGATCGAATGTCATGTCTAACTTGTTAAGTGAAGTTAAGAATTATTTATTTCTGCTGCTGACAATAAGGAATTCAATTTTCTTCATTCAACATTATTGGAAATAACTGCATATTAAGCTTAACGTTTTCAATTCCTCATTCGCATTACAGATATGAGTGTGGACAAAAATGCCGTTGCCGTAATGGGGGCCTTTGCGATCACGTGTCTGGCGCTTGCACCTGTACACCGGGTTTCCGAGGGCCTCTTTGTCAGGAAACTTGTCCTCCAGGTTTGTTGTCAGCGGAGTCATTAATGAGCCTATATTAAATAATTCGTTTTCTTGATCCGCCTTTCTTTTTGCCTTTAAAACGGCTTTAATTAAAAAGCGGTATGATTTTAAATGAGCAAAAACCGCTTCTAGTCATAGTGCTAAATTTTATTTCTTAGAGCTTATCGTGTAGCGAAAGTGTCAATCACTTTGCTACCTTTGTAATCAAAGTGAAGAACTCCATGAAAGTTAACTGAGTCTAACTTCAACATTACTGTATAAGAAATCTTCTAAAGTTCTAAAGTTTAAGCGACAGCCGCACTGCTTTAAGCCACCCTCACACATCTTGTCCCCTGATCGCGGCTGTGTGTTTAGAACCCCTTACGGCATTTAGCTGTTCGATACGCTGCTTTCATTTTGAAGCTGACATGATGTGAAAGCTGGAAGTGGACCGTGACGCAAGCGTCAGAATCTACGAGTTGTAGTATCGACAGCAGTTGCTGTGGTCGAAGTGCAAGCAGGCGCATTCTGCAGCGATGGTAACAACGCTGCTTTTGTCGGAGTAGGAAAGTAGGAAGCACTACTGGTTAGCCGGGCATCATTCGTTGTGGACTGCTCTTCATTGCACGGGGCTGCAGGTTGAAGCAGCCATAGATGAACCCGCTGCGGGAACTTTAATTAATGGATAAGTGAAACGCTGTTAATGGACAGTAGTGGTAGACGTCGGTAGTAAACACCGAAGAACCAGAGGGTCGTGACTTTAGCGCTGTTCCTTCTCCTTGAAGTCCCGTTCCACTCTGCCGTTACGTTCGATGATTTACCTTTGCGTGCTCTCTCTTTCTCTATTGAGTAGTAATTTTTTCCTTCTTTAGCTTGATTTCGTTACTCAATCGAAGTTCGAATGTTCTACGCTATCTTGAAGTTAAAATGCTCGTACGATACAATTCAATATACAATAACGTCATACAATGACAAAGCGACGCAATGGTGGGTTCATGCAAGCGCGGAGTCACTCCGAGGAAATGCCAGGTTAGCCGAGCTCGGTGCAAAGGGGGTCGGACAGGTTGACTCGAACGTAAACCTTTTCCTGTGGATGAGGTGCAAAACGCTGGGGCAGTTGTAGATGGTCGAAATAGAAATAAGTTTACCAACCTTGTTCGAATAAGCACAGCGTTCATTGAAATTCCTCAGATTTCGTTACAATGGGAAGCCATTCAGAATAGTGCGGAAGGCATCGCAAGACGCGTAGTGGAATTATCTCTTGACCCGAATAGGCGTCTGTGTTTACGGCTGAGCCGTGTGAAGATGTACGCGACAGAATGTAATACGAAAGAAGATGGGGTATAAGGTCAGAAAGCCAGAGAGATGCAACGCTAAAAGACTACAAGGTCAAAGGAAAAGTTGCCGAAATACGTCACTAAAACAAGGTATCAGATACGCTGGAGACGTTATAGTGGTGCAGCATGTTGTGGCACACCCACACGGCCGCCACCGTCCCTACGCTTTCCAGGTGTCAAGGGCGGCTGTGACGACCACTAGGACGACCAGCTCACGCCCGTACTCGGGCAAGTGTAAACGAGAGGCTATGTCAAAGGACATGGCAACACTGCAGAAGCCATTCGGAGGAGAAATGCAGGAAAGAAGAAAAAAAGAAGCACGTCTGCATGATGGTTTGCTGTCTGCACGCCCGCACGTCTGACTTTACATACTGTCGCCATTAGATGCACATAGTGCCAGTAGTGCTTTCATCGAGCTCAGCCAACGTTAGGCTGATGCTACATGGGCTATGAGCGCTGTGCACTTGGAATTCGAGTTTGTATGTCTAATAAATATCCAACATGTCGAACGTATACTTGTCAGATGCACCTTTTAATGTCTTCCGTTTCCTTTTCCTGGTTCACACCATCTATCTATTTATGTGTTTCTTATGATCGAGCACAATAATAATTAGTTGGACGATAATAACCTTCAAGCACAGCTTTTCTAATCACCTTGAGATCCATAACAAGCTACCTAGTAATGTATTATGGTGTATAATTAGGGAATATACACTGTTCAATAATTATATAAACCCCTGCTATTCATATGTTTATCGACGCCATATAGTTAATCTTCATAATTAGCGATTGCTTTGTATAAAGGCTATAATTTTTTGTTCGATCAAAAATCACACTGCTGTACTCATACGCTTACGTAGTTGGACTCATGTGGTCAGCTATCTTTGACTGAATTGACAATTAACGATATCCCTAAAGTTACAAGCTGGTAATAAAAAAATTTAAAAAAAAAAACCTTATTTAAAGCAGTTGATGATTAAATGTATGTGTGATAAAATATTCATTACAGGAACTCATGGTGATGGATGTGCGTCGAAATGCCAATGTCAAAACGGAGGATCGTGTAATCCTATCAGTGGAGAGTGTCTTTGTCCTGAAGGATGGACTGGAGCTGTTTGCGCCGTACCGTGTCCTTCTGGTGAGTAGTATATTTTTTTCAGATAGAATATTTATACATTTTCTGCATTTAACAGCGAAGCCTTAGGGTAGGCGGTCTCACGCCTTATTAGTATCTTATCAAAACCTTAACAGTTAAAGCTCTTTGTACCTACTTCAATCCTCTTAATTTACACATGCGGCTAAAATTGGTATCTTCGATATATGAGTTATTTCTTATGACGAAGTATTATTTATGTTACTACCGAAAAATCCCACACGAAATTTCGTAGGGATCAAAAGACGTGTATTTATACATCAATCCAACTCGAGAATTTCGCTCAACAGGAACGTCTGACAGGCACCATTCTATCGCTTATGAACCATGGGTTCGACAAACTGAAATTATTAGTTGGCTAAAGTTGGCAAATAGATTCGAAAAAACATGGATAGGCCACAGCGCAAAGCAATAGGCCATACACAGTGCGTCTTGAAAAGAAAAAACTCGATGTGCTGGATTACAGGAACCTTGGAATTCAAGGTTGGATTCTATATTCTCCAGACTTAGATCCTAATAAATGCAAGTTACCGGTATCAATTTAAGTGAGGAATTGATGTTGCAATTATGTAAGTGTTGATGCGCTTAGAGAGATAGATTTCTTTTTTTGTTTTAGAGTACAGATTTTTCGACGGAATCCCCACGGATGGTAGATTCAATGTGAAAGTATTTTTTTGAAGTGTTTCATTCTATTAATATAATTATGAATAGTCGACGGCACAAGTTTAAATTAAAGAGCTAGATAGGTCGTTTGGAAAAGTCTTTACTTTTCGGTAAGAATAAATTGGCCGTCCGTACTATTAAACAGGTAGCCTGGTTCAGTTTCAACTTTGTAGTTCTTAATACAAGAACACTACGTAATTCTGTTTTACACGTTTTTTTTATTTGCTAGATTTCTAGAAACGGTAGGACTGTGCTTCCATGTCGGGTTACCAGCATCACAGGATTTTAGTCCTAAAAAATGATAACTAATATTTACCTGTTACGTTCTATTCGTAATCCTTTGATACTAGCAGAATCCATGTATTATAGCCGCTGGGCTGTCAAAGCATTATTAGAGTAATACATTCACTGCCCTTTTCTATTTTTCAAACAGCGACTACAGTGATATAACGTAAAGTTAAACAAGTATCAAGCATTCGTTCGTAATTCTGGTTACACAGGCAAGGCTTCTTCCTTTTTATACGAACGCCGGCAGAGTAACGGCGAACTTAACCCTGTTCAGTGCTTTTTGCATTGCATTGCGTATCTGTTCTGCGTCGCCACGTCAGGATTGCATTGCAGTCGTCCCACTCGCTGGTTTTATTCCCGTTCCTTATCTTGAAGGACTTTACTCCTTTTCGGAACGGTTACTAAATGCGTCGAGCCCCAGAAGGTTGCGGATTGGGCATATCTCTGGTGTATTACTTCCGTCCGGCGGTCCACCTCATGTTTGGGAAAGCCTCAAACCTCAACTCTCTTCTTACGGAGGTCTCAATTTCGAGGGTAACGCTTTTAACCGCCGTTTACTGTCATCCTGTCCAGGCTCTTTCAAATGAAACGCAGAAATGGACTAAGAGAGTCATATGACTCTCTTAGTGTCGAATCGTAGTTACCGCTCTGTGTCCCTGCGCTCCTGTGTGTAGTAGTTCTCGTCGCTATACCGCATATGTAGTGCCGCTGCTGACCCGTACCTTTGGTTCGTCCGTCTGCTATATAACAATAATATATCCTTGACATGGCAGCGGGACCAAGACCACAGTTCTCTCTTAGCTCATTCGTCCTCTCCTTCCTTCAGGAATGTTTCTCATTGAATTGCGTTCTGCCATCTGAAGTAGACATAGAGCTTCCCTATATGACAGTTTGGTTTGTACGGGGGGGGGGGGGGGTCTCACTTCCAACATAGCACACTGCTGCCGCAGGTCCATTTTCCCAACGATAGACCTCACAGAAACCGGTCGGGTTCGCATAATAATAAATTTATATAGAGAGACTCGGCTAACGAAACAGACAGCACGAGCGATGAAAGAGAAAACAATAGAGAAAGAGAAATATATGAAGGTGGAGAGGGTGTATTGGTTGCAGACGATTTGCTGATTGCTTCATGTCCAAGATGTACAGTAGCGTCGGCGTCGCGGCGTTGTAAAGAACACCTTATACGTCCCATATGAGGAAAAGAAGCTGTACAAAAGGATAGACAGAGAGAGAGAAGCGATGGGGCTAAAGCGGGGAATAACAGGACATGAGTTTAGACAAGAGGCAGCGTAAAGGATTGGGACCCGGACTGAATTGAAGTGTTGGTAGCAGCGGTGCCGATGGGGCGCGGGGACAGCGGCGTAGACGTCAGCAAGAGCTAAAGGCGACGGCTTTAGTAGCACCAGTGTCACATGGCAGTGACGGCAGGATTTACGTGACTGCCGACACGGCGTGCATTTGTCTTTGTGCCAAGACCGGTTTCGGGTCGATGCCCGAAGGCTAACATACGGTATAAGGTATACCGTCTGGAACGACACAGATGGTCGGGAGAGCTGTACCCCTACATTTCAGGTGCCCAACACGCTTTGACCAAACTCATTCTAAATTCACTAAATTTTTCAATAATCTAATTACACTGCAAACACCAGCCCGCATTTACAATATCTTTGCTATCTATTGTAAGTAGCTGGAATATTTGCGCTCTGACTCATTGTCTGCAGCAGTGTTCATAGGCCACCTTTGTTGGAGAATGCTGAGTACATGTGCCATAGTAGAGTGACTAAGGCGAATTATCTCATTATTCTAAGTATATGACGAGATTTTCCTCACAGAGGCAAGATATATTTAGATGGCGTAAGATCCTATAGATTGAATTAATCTCAATGTTATACAAATAATTTGAACTCGTTATATTTGCACGATACGCAGCTTTATTTGATTGATGTAAATGCCATTAGATTCTCTAGCAGAAATTTATTGGAGATGAACTACACCGAGTTACGAACGGTCGTCGGGCATACGTAACAGTGGATGCTGAAACAATTTCCAGATGCACGATAACTAGAGTACATATGTTATATCCTTAGTAAGAGCCTGATCCACGGTTACACGTGTTGAATTCACATAAATAAATAAATACCTTGCTTCTAAGGGTTTTTCTTCAGTAAAGCGCTCTTCTTATTTGCTTACGTGAGGCTAACTTTGTTTTATCACCGTAGTGTTCGGACGAATTCGGACTTAATTAGAAGAGTTAAAGCTCAGAACTCGTTCAGCCTGACCATTAACCTACATATACCTACGATCAGTGCCCGTTGATTACTCTTTAGTAACTGTATTGAGTCGAAATAATGATAGTAAAAGCAAGATCTTGTAGGTTTTTTGTGTTGATGATTCGGCCTGCTGCCTAGCTGAAGAGAATTACTGAGTGGGAACGATAAACCTCGTCAACCCGCTGGAGGCAGGTTCCGCTCAATTATACGTATGCAGATCGCTCCGTAGCTAGAACGGACCCAAATTAGTCGGCATATATAAATCCACTGTCTGGATTTGAATTTTATAAACAAATTATTATAGCTTGATTTTCATATTTCATCCCGTCTGTGTTACAGTGTGTGTGTGTGTGTGTGTGTGGTTTTTACCCTCTGGGAGTAGTGCAATAGCTTTTAAAATGGGCACGAGCAGACTTTGTGGAAGCGAAATAAGTAGAATTGGACGGTAAATTAAACTAAAATTAAATTTAGTTTTAAAGCGCTTCGAATAGAATTTATTGTCGCAGTGATTTTGAAAAAAAAAAAAGAAAAGAAAAAAGGTCAAGGTATAGGAGGCGTGTAACAAGAATTCATAGTCCGAATGAGCAGAACAGTTGTGCCCTCTCTGTGGCTCTTTCTATTTTACGTTTGCCATTCTGACTCTGCTGTTTTTCTGTTAACTCATGGTCAAATTACTTTAGGCAAGTTCAGCACTTCTGAGTAATAAGCAGAATTATAAATGCTTTCCGTAGTGTTTGCTGAGAAAATGCAGCAAAATATAATTACTAATAACCATAAACTTCACGTTAGCAAACTCAACTAACGTTCCTAGCTAAGAGAGTGGCATTTGTTACCACTAAATGAATGCTACATAACGCTTTCAACGAAGAAGGGTGATATTCGAATTGAAATCGAGTGGTGATTGAAGTGTTTGTAAACAATATATTATAACTTTCGGATTTTTAGAGTTAACACAGTTTACGTATTGAAAGTTCTCCGTAAACAAGCTATTTGCCTGTTTTACAATTGTTGCAATTTCATTTAAATCTTTTTTTACACTCACTGAAAACAAATAAATCTAATCTAATCTAATCCGTTCAATAATTAAACAATTTAATCATATCGTTAGCATTTCAAAAGCCCTTTGGTCCGAAGGCATGCCCAGAGTTGATATTCTTTATTACATTATTATTATTAGTGGCGTATTGAACTTCAACAAACATACGGATGCTCGTATTGAACCTTATAGGATTCTACGGTCCTGATTGTAGCCTACGATGTCCTTGCTACAACGATGCCTTATGCGACCATGTTACTGGGCGATGTCATTGTCCGCCAGGTTCGTAGTTGTATAACCGCCATAGCCTTAGTTGTAGCTTACGTTACTATGGAAAATGGCTAGTTTATCAACCCATACTATATAGTGTAAGTATATTTTCTGATTTTGCTAAAAAGTACTTTTCAGCAGCTATATATTAAGTTATACTTAGAGTTTATGGTGTTTTCGAATACAGCTTTTATGCTATAAGCAAATATACTAATAAAGACTAGCAAAAAAACGCTTAGTGTATTGGCCAAGCGCACTTAGGTGACTGACGCTCAATATAGGACATTGATTGATTAACGATAGTTTACTATTTCGTTCGTTTCCGTTTCCAGGATATACCGGCTCTCGATGTCAAGATGAATGCTCTCCAGGCACGTACGGTCTCAACTGTTTAAAAAGCTGTGACTGTCTCAATGGTGAGTCAGCACTAAAGCAGAATTGTTGCCCTAAACCAAAATCTAGGCATTGTTTGATATAACAATTAACATAGGTTTATTGCTGACCTACTTGACGTTTGCGCTACATCTAAACGCTTACTGCTAGTAACTAGAAGTATAGTTGAGTACAGACGACGACTATAATCGGTAATAATAGGTTATTTTCCCTTGCTACTTCTAGTTTTCCTAATAGCACACATCATAATAGGTACTGGTTTGCTGCGAGCATCTTTCCTGTGTGTCTGTAGAAACACTGCAATTAGATCTGCCCAAAATAGCTGCATGTCTCAAACCGCAAACGGGCTGTCCGAAACGACAATCCTCTCTAGGAAACGCTTTTTTGTTTCAACTAGGGCCATGTAATCGGCTCTATTTTGTTTTTGGGCAGTTCACAGTAATGTGCTTCAATGGTCTATCCTAATAAATATGCCATGGAGGAATTACCGTAGTACATGCTACGATATGTTATTCCGTAGCACACGTTCCTTCGATAAGAACGTTTAACTTGTTTTTTGTTTATAACAAAGAGGGTGGCAATTGCGAATAACCATGAGGACAGTAACAGTAAATTGCTATATATTTTATAAGAATATTTGAGGCTTTGTCCATGTCGCTATCGCATTAATGGTAAGGCATCGCTATTCAACTGGGTCAAATACATGGCCTATGTAGGCAATTACATGTATCTTCGTTCAAGCATTTGGCTACTATCTGTTCTGCGCGAATGGGTAAACGAGACGCATTAATATATATTAGACATTTTAAATCTTATTGTATTTATCAATGAGGTGAATTTTATTTTGGGCAACTCTTGACTGGCAGGTACTCAAGTAAGGCAGAAACGTTCGGAATAGTATAACACGGTATTGAGGATGCATCTGTAATAATTATTATGCTGAACGATAGCAATGAAAAGTCTTCAGTTAATCTTCTATCGCTGTTTCTGTAGGGGCATCGTGTGACGTGACAAACGGACACTGCGTATGTGCCCCGGGTTTTGTAGGTCCACGCTGCGAAACGCGAAAGTGCGCTGACGGTCTCTACGGAAAAAACTGCGATTTGGTCTGTCAGTGCCATGCCAAGAACACCAAACTGTAAGACCGTCTTGACTTTTTTTTTTAGCTTTCCTTTCTTAAATGACAATTAATTATGTAGCCACCCAATCGCAAACAACTTAGATAAATATACAATGTAAAGAGGTCTAGGCAAAGAAAATATTTTTTAATGTTGTCTAACTTGCCGCTAGGTGGCACCTTCAGCACTTGTTGAGAAATATCGATCGATAGTAGATGGAAACAAATTCGGACAAAATTATTAGAATACGATTCCACCTACTCGTATAATTTAAATTAATCGAATGCGGCTGGTAAATATGATTTTTATTATACAATGGGCGTCCGTATATTCTGTAATGTTTTAGTGTTTACGCATCAGAGCTGTACGATATGCTGCTTGTTCTACTCGTTCTATTTCTCGAAGCAAACGTTTGACGATTATAAGAGCAAGTATTATTTAAAATTAACTGTCCATGTATGTGTAGTGTGACACAAATGGCAACAACTCGTCGTAAAAGTTGGATGAAGGCAACAGGTGCCAGCAGTGCTTAGTACCACAGTGTACCGTGCGCCTAGATTTTTTAGGGTCAAAGCACTCACAACATGTTTTTCGTATCACAGAATAGCAGCTAAGATGTGTTACAGCAGGGATTCCAGCGAATACACGTTAATCCGGGACCTCCAGTACCAGAAAAAAATCAGCGCACTACAAATAGGAAATAGATGCAGTGTCATTACAACTCTTCATTTCGTTATTTCTGTGAAACTTTTTGTTTATTTGCCCAGTTTTAACATATAGAAACAGTAAAAGTAGGCTTGATGGTACATATGTTTTAATAGACTGGCGGGGATGTACGCATGTGCAGGGTTGGATTGGGCAACAATTATAAATAGACCTGTAGTAACCTGAAGACAATAGAAGGCAGGCACACACAAACACTCTCTGCCTATAGCCGCCGTGCAACAAGGCGCAATCGGAAGTGTAACATTGCTAGGGAAACTAAGTTGTCATCCAGCCATGCTTACGCTCCTCGCTGTGCAATGATTTGTCTACGGGAAACGAACTTTGATGGCGGCTGCTCCCTGCGCCGAGTGGTTGGAACCGGATCGGGATTGAATAGTAACTGGTCTTTTGCTCAATGAAGAAATCCCCGGGGAACGGACGGGCGGACGGATGGATGGATGGCCGTAGGGACGGTGAGGAAATGGCGCCGTACGGTAACAGAGATAGGGGCAGCTTTGCGAAAGCTTCCAACGTATTAAGGGGCCAAGTAGACACATCGTACAAAACAAATCTGCGTAAAATTCAATTGCGTAAACCATGAAGCTGATTTACCTTCCAATTGTACTGGCAAAACTGAAATTTGCTATTACTACACACAAACCGATATGGGTCATTCGTCCCAAAAACGATAAAGAGGGAATAATTATAAGAATTATAACATTAGCAAAATGGCTTACTAGATACAAGCGACTGCCAATGTACGGTATACACGGATGTTGGCTTCACTTTTGGTTTTTGTTTCGTAATTTGGTAGTCGTATTGTCTTATCTGTGCAAATAAAGCGAGTAAACATTGTGATACTTGGCATAAAAATACCTCGCCAAGATAGCGTCATCTGGCGGCAGGAAAATAATTTCTAATTACACACAGTGAAACGATAGGAAGTTTGTCAATTCTTGACCTTCAGTTGTTTGCAACTATTATTTAATGATATCGATCAATAAATTGTGTCTACCAGATTCTAGCATTTATATGAATCAATTGGAGAATCGAATTAGGGTATGAAAGCATTTTTAACGTACTTTGTGATACTTATGGTAAAACAAACTGGAGAAAAGTGAGCTAGATAAAACATTTTTAACAAACACACACTCGACCAAAAACACATTGTAGCCGCCCGGTAATGTTGTGTAAACGTGCTGTACTTATACAAATTCTCTGACGCTAAGGTACTTGCTTATAAATAAACATAGCAGTTTAGCAGAGCTATATCTTGAAAAATGTAACATAGTTTTATTATTGAGAGGAGCGTGTAAACAGTGCAATAATAATCAAATATTGCACCAGAATAAAGCTTTCTACAAGGAAACTTCTAGATCTTCTTAAGTTTAAAGATGCCTTGTAGTTCGGTGCTACCTTCGCAAAAGCCACTACAAACGTTGAACTTTCGATCTAGCCATCAGTGATGGGGCAATACGAGGAGCATTTTTTTTGAAACAGAAAATTCTCTATTATTATATCATGCGTATTGCCCGTATGTATAACTGCCACAAACGAAGTAGCAAAACAAAGTAGCGTACTACTCCTAAGTGTTCTTCTATACTATGCTTCGAGCTTAAAATAAACGAAATCAACTTAACATAATATTACCGAGAGACTCACGGCTAATACATGATCATCGAATACACATGGAACTATGTATTTTTCAAGAATATCGCCCAGTAATCCTATAATTCACCTAGAGATTCGAGGTCCGCACTCTTATACCTAAGTAATATTAGCCTGGCTTGAACTACAGTCTCCGAAGGGACACGGTATATGCATCATATTAAGTAGCATAGTTCGAAACCCTTTCCAACTAAATTAGCTATCCTCCCGTTAAGGTTTGCTTGATCAACTCAATGTCTGCGGCAATACGATAAACGCTGTTGAAATATCAAACAATGCCCAAGTCGTTTTTATATATTGCCTCTGTTCAATTTAGCAGCTGTTCCTATTAATTAGCTGCAGATACATACTGTCGATAATTTTCAAGAAGTAATAAATGAAGCAAAATATATTCCTATAGCTATATTTAATACATCGTATTAGAATCAAATCTCAAACGCCTTCATTTCCTGTTGAAGTGGCACTGGATCAGCAATGAGGTCAGGTCAAGGAACAGACGAAGGTGAAAGCTCATAGACCGATATGCTTCCTTACCTAAACTTCTGGAAATAGTATTTAACATTTTAATAGCTGTTATTTGTCAAATCGGAAAATTTCTGTCTAGATTTGATATTTTTTATTCTAATAAAATAGCTTTAATGTTGTATCTAGGAGCATAAAATGAGGATCTTCTATTTTTTTTTTCTTCGTTCTGATTTTATTATTTCAGATTCTCTATTTTTTAGTACAATTCATCCTGGTAAAATGTCTATTATTCATAGGCAGCATGTACCACATGCATTAAGGACAAAATGTACTCATTGGTACGCAATAAAACGCACGTATGGTGCTCACTCTGCCTATCGTTAGCCTTAATATTGTTCTCGCCCGATTGACACTATTAGCCTGAAACATTTCGGCTATCTTTTTGCCGTTTGTTTACTTCTATGCACCGCTCAAAAGTGCTCTCTTTCCTCTGTCAATCCATTGTAATTTAATTGTGCAGTGAACGGTATCTTATGCCAAGTTTGGCTTTTAAGGACGGTGGCTCTAGGTGGCAAAAAATACACGTTTAGCACCTACTTTATTTAGTTTTTAGACTCAGTATTTCTGAAGAGAAAGAACAAATAAATTTGTTGAGAGAATGGTAAAGTGAAATCGATTGGCAGGGGTCGTAAAGAGTGATGGAAAATACTTAATAAATTAATAAGTTGCTATAATTCGAGTAGAACGCTGCGTTTTTCGTTAAGCGGGAAACCGAAATTACTTATGTTTCAGTGCTTGTAAGTGCATCTCTCTTCCAGTGTGAAATAGAAAACTGTGTATTATAAAACGATAAAATCGTCACGATGACAAAGTGAAATGGAACATTTTTTCTATTACTTTCCATCATCTGTCTAGAACAATTTTTTGGCTGATTTTTCAGAAGCCGAAGTTGCGAAGATTGCTATTCGAATAAAACTTTCCAACAATGTATAACACCTAGCCAGCAGCAAACAAATATTTAAAACTGCGGAAATTAAGACTGACCTCAGCACCCCCTTTACAAATGCGCAACGATGTTAGCAGCTTACCTCAACCCCAACTGAGCATCGAATCAAGCTGACATATCCTTTTGGTCAACCTATATATATTTCCAGCTTAATGACCGCCATTGTAGTTCAGAAAGTTTATATAGGAGTGTAGTATAGTGGATCTTTACCGCCATAATAACAGTAATTACAACAATATTTCACTCTAGTTATTACTGTCCCTCTGATCTTACAGTTAGACAAGCATTAATTAGCTGTGATGCCCTATAGAATATGTTGCCCTATCCAAAGTTAACAGGATTTCAAATTATAGCCACACAAAGGCTCATGTCAAGCAAACGTCTTCATATCAACAATGACAGCTGGATAAATATTATCTCTTATTATGCAATAAATAAGAGTTTCTTCTATAGTTGTTTGTCTCATTAATTTATTCAGCTGCCATCCGTGGAGAGGATCATGCGAGTGCCGTGCTGGGTCCTACGGAGAACTCTGCGAGCGGTCCTGCCCGACACTTACTTTCGGTGAGGGTTGTAGCCAACAGTGCGACTGTGCGAACGGTGCGGAGTGTGATCCTGTCAATGGAACATGTATCTGTGAGCCTGGATTCTACGGAGCTGAGTAAGTAATAGATCGGCATAAGCGATTTGCTATACTTAATCAATATACTATTGTAATGTGATCGTTGTAAATTGTTGAAGTTGTCATCGCATTGTAAATTTATTTTGCTATCTTTTTATCGAGGAATGTACAACAGAGTAAAATATTTATCGTGGTTTTCTAATAAGAATATGGAAATAATATTTAATATCATTCTCATGTGGCTCATTTTAGCTGCTCCCTAAAATGCCCGCCAGGGAGCTATGGCCGATCGTGCGAGGAGAGCTGCATTTGCGACAACAATGCTACATGTTCTCACATCACTGGGCAATGCACCTGCCCTTCAGGTACAGTCGTGTGGTTAACTGAAAGCCAAAGTACGATTTTGAGGACCCTTCATTTCATTTACCCAATGTTCACATTTACGTTGCTACAAATACCTATCGATAAGGCTAGGCAGAAAATATATTAGTATCACTGGTGTTCGTCTCTTTTTTTTTGTTGCTCAACGATTGTATTTCCAGTAAATGCATGTGCTTCAAGCATATGAAAGTCCCGAGCTAATAGTTTTTTATGACCAGCTGTCGAGAAGAACATCACGCATGTGATAACATGTTGAATAAAAAAGAATCCATTTACTTATTCTACGAAGACTCTATTCCTTCTATTTTTGGAGCGCAAGCACCGCCCGGACTGCTTCAAGAGGCTTACTAACAGTCTACGGCATAGAAATGGTTGTTCCTTGGTCATAAATCCCATTATGTATGACGGCCTTCGTTAAGGATTTACATATGATAAACTGTTTCAGTTAGCAGTTCTGTATTTACCAAATTTCTTGATTACTAGTGAAAATTGCGCTTGCTTGCCGTGCCGGACAATGACATATCTTTCTTGTTACTGTGGCATGATTATAGAGGAGCTGTCGTTTGTATGAAAGTGTGGAACGCGTGTCAGCGTGCGCGCACGCACTAACACGTGCGCGGAACTCGTTTCCTGTCAGCTCTTGGGCTTTTAACGTTGGAGCATGTTCATAGCCAACGTTTAGGAGAGCATGAAGCTTGAAGTGGAAATTTATGCTACCAATGGTAGTGCAATACTTTAACTGAGATAGACAATTGGTGCTTTTTCCTTGTACAAAGAGGATGTGGGAGATCAAATGTTAGGGAAAGATGTATGACAGCCCTCGTCGTTTTACCGGAACGGTCTCGTGATGTCCCTAGCCTGCCCTGGTCGCGAGATGCAATTGTCCAACCGGACAGATGGGAGGGAGCAAAGCGACATTAGTAGACGGAAACAACACCACGTATGGAAGGCATTCACGTTACTCAAGGCAAAATAAGTATACACCAGTTGGCGACGGCGCGACTTCCCATAAGGATTACGTATTCACACCGCTAAACCCTGAATTTCTGAGTTAAGCTGCTGGGGAAAGCTGAGTTAAGCCGTTGCTGAAAAGAAGGCGAAACACAACAGGAATTTTATTTTATGGGCAATATTTTACGCTAAACACGCACATGGACATTACCCTTCTTCCTCAATGCTACTCGGAGTTGCGATTGCCTGCCTGTTTAGCCGGCGGCTAGTTCTGTCTCCCGAGGAGAGCGCATCCGGCTCTCGGTACGTTTTAATTTTTTTTTTTAACATGAACAGCGCAAGCGTCTTGACAAGCGGTGCACTCAAAAGTCTAAACCAGTTTGCCTTACCGGTGCAAGGCTTTTGCCACGATGAAAACTTTGCCAGTAATGCTATTATTTATGTGTGTTTTCACAATGCTGTCAGTTCAAAATCTTCAGCTGTAATTCCTGTAAGAGCAATAGGATGCTTATAGGAACTTTCTGAGTCCGCCAGTAATCTTCGCAATATTGCTATTGTTTTTTTTGCCTTTGTCTTCCTAATTATGTTGTAGGGTACTTCACGTCGAGGTGCAACCGGGTTTGCCCTCCTGGCCTCTACGGTTCAGGTTGTCAAACGCGGTGTCAATGTGCAAATGGCGGAGAATGTGAAGCAAGAACTGGTCAGTGTCGCTGTACTCCAGGTTTCTATGGAGAACTGTGCGAGAAACGGTGTGAGGTATGCATTCGCCATCTATTCTTACTTCCAACAACAACAGTAAAAATAGGAAAGATATTTTGCTTATTCTATAGTAATTGTTTCATTAAAATACGTTTATGTTTGTAATATCTTTAGTTGCATGAGCGCTACCTGGTACCCATTTTCTATGCGCTCTTCGCTGTGCACACAGAGAACTGCCGACCGGGACGCCCAAGCGTGTGCACTGACCCGATACGGTTGGAATTGACAGCCCTCGATTTGGATACCTCCACTCACCTGGTTCCTCTTCGCAGCGAACTGTTGTTGCTTGATGATCATTTTAGAAGGTTCACTTGAACAAAAGCTTTCGCCTGTGACAGGCGTGGTTTAAGAAAGAGCATATAATCCGAAATCAGTTCTAGTGCAATGGCAAAATGGCGCCGAGAGAGACACTAACATTACTATTATAATTAACGTTACTATTATCCAATACAAGCAAGTATTACCGAGTGCTTAATTGACAAAAACACGAGCAGTTGGTCAGCGACCTTCATCTATTTATACATGTCATAAAAGCAAAGTACTAAATGAGAAATAGTAGAATATATTATTGTACCAGTGAAATAAGATCAGTTTCTCTCAGTGATGAGAAACATTTAAAAAAGAGGAAAGTATCTACTATAGTTGTATGAATTGTTATACTATATATATAGAAAATCGTCCAATAGGTGTGCAGTTAGTTTGGATACTGTAATAAGTCCGCACTCAAATACTGTTCTGCTGTCGGGGCATTGTTGCCTAACCTAACCTAACCTAGCCTGCTACAGAAAGCTGTTCATACTGACGTAAAACTCACTGTACTTTAAAGAGCGTATATATTATTCACATGCGACAAGTAGGCTGTATCTTTCATGCCTTAGAAACCTTTCCTTAGTAAAATAAAATTAAACTATATTACACCTTTTCATCCCTGGGGACCAATTCAAAATAATCATAATTGTAATTTATGTCTACTATTCCTAAAGACTCAGCTAAAACAGGTATCTTTGCATTGACGTTTCTAGACTGGAATACTTTTCGATCCCTTGTGGGGAACTTTTTCCAACTCTTTTTACAATTGGACAACCTCTCGAATTATCTCATTGATCACTAATTAAACGCAATAGGAATATATATTTCAGGAAGATTACTCTTATTATTTCGGCATTCAGATTTCTTCTTTGCAATTTTGTTAGGAAGTACTTCGCAAGGTAGGCGATGTACGTTTTGCGACTTTGGATTAACGAAGCATCAATTGTTTTGTTGCCATAGAAGAGTATTGATTAAATACTGTTCTGACTCAAGTTAAATTACGTTCAGGCTAAGGCATAGAAAACCTGTTAGCATTTCTTGATATCATGTCGTGAAGAAATTCTTATGCTCAGATACAGAGCGGTCGTGCGTGGCAATAGGAAAAGGTCCCTTAACGCGAAATTATCAGACAGACCCAACACGCATCCTCTTATACACCTATGAGATAATCTACCATTAAAAATAGGCTCCAGGTGACTTTTTGGGAAGTTTAGTACATAGAACAACAGGAAATTAGAAACGAACCCATTTAAGTCGCAAGAATGTAGAAAAGTAAATGTTGCTTTAAGTTTAGTTTATTTAACACAAAATAACGGGTTGACGTAGGTCAATGCGAATGAGCAAGCAGCACTTTGCAGTTTTACCATTTCGATGTTCTGAGATGGCTAGCCTTCACCAGCGGAACGAGTCCAGCTCAAGACTTATATATTCTTAAGTCTAACAAATTGAGCCGTTGCCACTATATCATTGAGAAGATTTTGACGTATATACGTGACTGTATTGTCTAGATGGAAAAAGATTGCATCTGTAATTTCCCGCATCTCCCCTGGTCTACTCAACCATAGATGAGCTATCTGTTGGAAACTATAGAGACATTTAGACAAATTTTATAGAGTACGCATATTTATTGATATCCTTCATCCAGGTTCGTAATGAACAACACATTTATAGCGCAGTAAAATATATATTCCAAATATTTTTCTATCTGACTAACTGCCGCACCGGCAACCCAGATAGCAAAAATGGGCCTTGATCGGCAAGGCAAGCATTATAGGGAGCAGGAATAGAACTGTATAATACAAAATAGGTGACATAAAGACTATTATTGTGAGAGGATGATATTCTAACGCGATGCAGTATTTTTTTCCAGTCTGGCTATTTTGGCCCGGGCTGCAGCCACAAGTGTGACTGTGAAGAGAACAATTCTATTGGATGCGACTCAGTAACTGGTGAGTAACTGGAGCATGCTGGTATTCAATGCGTAGAAAAGTCTGGTTTCAAATTGTCTGCTTTTATTCTAGAGGTAAATTTTTTGCAGTTTCTGAATATGTTTGAGACTATTATATAGCTATACATTGCTTTCTTTTTTTCGTACTTTTTTATATCTTATCGGTGTTTTATGTAATCCTGGAGTGGCATGCACACAGCTAAAAGCTAATGTTCAGCAAACAGACAATTTCTGTCCTACTAAGATAACGTGGCCAGGTTCCAAGTTCACGCAATAAACGCTGAAGCCTTTACATTAAGAAAAAATTTCGCCATTTCTAGTGCTATCTGTTGTTAAGCTTCTGTCTGGCCAGAAATCCCCCAATGATACTGTTACGTAATTGTGATCGAACCTAATTGAGTATTTGCTGATAGCTACGCAATGTATTTTTACCCCACTGCAGGTGAATGCCGTTGCTTGCCAGGCTATAGCGGTTGGCGGTGTGAATCGGAATGTATACCACCCGGCCTTTTTTGGGGGGCAGACTGCTCGAATGTATGCCCGTGCACTAATAACGGTACCTGTAATCAGTTCAGCGCCGACTGCAGCTGTCCTCCTGGATTTTACGGCCCTAAATGCAAGAAAAGTGAGTAACACGTGGCAATTGTTGGCTTTGTTTAGCTGTTTTTTTTTGTATGTCGTCAATCTTGTGGCGCTCTCTGTATGATCTATCTAATATCCCTTGAGTCGTTTACTTTGCAATAGTTTAAATTTATTTTTATGCTCCCTGCGTGGTGAATATTGAAGATAGGCTATCGCTGTCGATTGCGGGAATTCATTCATAGTGCCTAATTCACAATTGGCTTCAATAATTTTTTTTTTTAATAAAAAGGGATTGAACAATTTGCCATACTGCTTTAAATGCAGATTTTTTCGCATTTGAAAAAGTCATCCTGGGCACCACCCCCCGGCTATTACGCTTCATGATGATACATTTTGGATTAAGCACTTAAATGCGGCCATATGATAGTCGACGATGGTCATATCTGACGCTCATTTTCGTCCCAAACTTTGACGAAGTTTTCTGTGCTGAACGAAGGGGCTCAGTTCTTCTAACTATATCCGTAAGATGACAGCATACTTTATGAGACCTAAATTCATGCTCATCTTACTGTCGAAATATCAAATTTTATTCTTCTTTTCACATAGACCTAATATCTGGTTTAAGGTATAATTATACCTTGACACTAAATATATAGGTAATGCTTTAAAACTTAGACAGATTAAAATGTCTATGCTGCACTGTATTTACGAGCTAAGACGACGAATACGTAATTGATTAAAAAAGCTCTACTATCAAACCAACTATCTGTGTAAACAAGGAGAACCTTAAAGTCGCATAGCGAAACATAATATTATATACTAAAAAATATTACGTTACCAACTGGTTTCTTCGTAAACTTGTGTTTTTTTTTTTTGATATGGTATGTGTAGCACAGACATGAGTCACTTGTGCGCGCCTTTTAAGCCCATGCGTATTATTTGCCGCCTTCTAATGAACGTTCTTGTGTGAAAACTAAATATCGACCCTTAATCAAAATGACCATGAAGAGGTAGTTAGAAGAACCGTTTTTATATTGGCAATGGGTTCTCCAACGGGTAAATGCAGCTCCGTGTGAAACACATACTATTACTTAATCATATCTAGTCAATAGTTCTCTTACTTTAGGGTGCTCTCAAGGATACTTTGGCCTGGGGTGCAAGCAACAGTGTCCTCGCTGTGAGAATGCTCTTAGCCTATGCGATTCGGTAACGGGCTCATGCTCATGTCGATCCGGATGGACTGGATTAACGTGTTCAAAGAGTAAGTATGAATTGCAGTAATCATTGTCGACCTATACGGAGGTGGTTTGATTTGTTTGTTCTGATTAGTTGGCGGGCAAGGAATCTGGCTGACTCACGGTTGTTAAAGGCCTTTTCCACTTTCAGCGATTTTGCTAACATTTGAAATGCAAAAACGTGTATTACATAATATCCCTTTATGGCCACAATCACATATTCCTTATTCAGCTTTTCTTCTGAATGGCAACTGCGCGCACGTATTCTTTGTTGAGCTGGTTTTCTTTTTAGCGATGGTCAAGTGTTGCACTGAGGTTAATTGTTTACATATCGAGTTTTGCTCTCTCACAACGTAAAGAAATTCATTAATAAAATTAGCTCATTGTATAGTTTTACTGAATAAATCTTTCAAATACAGAATGTTTGCCCGGAACGTATTGATTTTACCCTTTGCTCTAAAATCCGGATTTTTTTCGTCTGTGTTGATCCGAGCTCATTTGTTGGACTGGAATCAAATATCGAATATTGTTTTCTCTTTTAGTGTAGTTCAATCGACATTGAAGGTGCAGACTGTCTTTCCAGTAAGAGCCAACCTACATGCATCCCGTCATCTGCATAATTCATCCGAATCTCTTCGGTGCGAGGTCACCTATCCGCCCGAAACTTTGCGCTTCCACGTTTCTCTAAATCAGGGCTCTTTGTATATCTGACATATGTGCCTCGGGCCACAGTCGTCTGTGAATTAGTTTTTCATACGACTAGATAAAATAAACCATTTTTATCAGTACCCGCCCAAAGCGTATAACCGGGAAGGCGTTGGAAGTATATTTGCGTTTGTGCTCTGACGACTTTCAAATTTTTATTCATTGATTTATGTAACATACAATAAGGGTACTACGTTGTTGGTAGAAGGGAATTTAAACAACTTAGATATATACAGGACATTTGCTAATTAATGACATTCTATTATTGCCTTAACTTTTGCTATTACGAGCTTTTTGCAAATAACGTCTTGACAATTTGCCAAAGAGCATCCTTTGACATACGGAAGTGTCATGAACACTGCAAGCCCAATTTGGGTGTTTCAGCACTAGCAAACAGGAAATATTTCGAAATTGTCGGAAGTACACCCATGGTAATGCTCTGGTATTAACTCTAGATTTATAAGGGCTTGTAAATCCTTCCTAAGCTATGTACAAATTAGATACGATACTTCTCAAATATGAAAAATTACCTAATTTTTTAACGTGACCTCATAATTGCAGCGTGTTCCCCGGACTTCTGGGGTGCTAACTGCAGCGAGCGTTGTCAGTGTTTTCACGGAGGTGAATGCGACCCTCAAACAGGCTCATGCTTTTGTCTCCCCGGTTGGAAGGGCCCCCGTTGTGCTGAAGCCTGCCCCCACGGAACATACGGTTTCAACTGTACTAAAAAGTAATTCATATACAACAGTCCTTACATCAGAACGTCTTCTACAAATGGACTCATTTTATATATATGCTTCTAAGAAATAAAGTTCAAAACGTCGTTCGATCAATAAGGTATCAGGTCATTTTCTTAATGTAATTGCATTTGAAACGTTTATAGATGTTCATGTGTAAACGGTGGCCAGTGTCGTGCAACAGATGGAGCCTGCATGTGTCCCCATGGATGGACAGGTAGCCGTTGTCAACAGGTTTGTCCTGAAGGCTACTTTGGAGAACATTGTTTTCAGGTATGTGTCCATCACCAATATTTTCTGAACACCTCGTTACAACAAAGTCAGACTTAATGAATAAATAAAAGTATCTATTCAGGTTAGCGGCTGGCGACATGTAGCCCATGCGTGTAACACATACATGCCATTTGCATATCAAACAATGTATCTGTCTGCTTACGTGTTGTTAATTTTGGCTACTACACTGAAACTTGAAGTAAAAGAGGCAAAAACAGCGAAAGGTCAAATTCAAATATATATATATAGTTTGCAATTTTTATTTTTATACTACCATTCTACTTAGGGATGAAAATTAGCTAGGCTAAAGGGCAGTGCTTCTTAGTTCTAGTGCTGCAAAAGCCAAACGTGATGTAATGTAAAAGTTAGTCTAAGTTAAATTCTAAGTACTTCATACGTAGATGTATTTTGAATGACTTGAACTGATTTAAATGATAAACTATTTAAACTTTTTTCGCTTACTGATGCTGCAATTTTTTTTCATTTAAACTTTCGCACGTGTTGTGTTGGTAAATGTGTACTCATGACCATAACTGAACGGTGTAAGCTATAGCACTAATGACCATAGCAATTACTTATATTGTATTTAATAACGAGCGAGTAATCTTATAAATGGTAGAGGAGTGGTTCGTCATTATAAGAAGATGCAAAGTAGTAAAGAAGAAGTAGTTAAGATGTCCGCATGTCAAACAAGTGTTCTCTTCCGCCTTTTTTTCAATAAAGCATGAAAATTTGCGTATCGACGGATATAGTAAGGAAGTCGTCAGTTAACTTGGTAAATTCGGAGGCGAACTTTCTGTAGTCTCGTTAGTGTGCTAGAGTTGTTAAGCTTTATTTGTTAAGTAGGAGTTGTCTCGTTATTGCTATTGTTGCTTCACGAAGTGCCGTAAAAGGGATTCATGCAGACGCTCACGTACAGCTAACACATATCCTCGTACCACAGGTCTCTTCTTTCATCCAGCTTGTGTTGTCTAAAATACCCATAGCTCTTCTATCGTTTCCTACTTACTCGAAGGGATTATTTTCCCAGCCTAACTCGTTCCAGCAGTTTAGCCAGCCAACACTTCCTGTGCTAATCCTCTATGTTTCAAGTTTTACGTCTGGTGTCAGCGTTAAGCGTTAGGTTTCATCAAGCAGTTCGCTCCCAGCACGAAGGCTACCAGCGCCAGCTAACTAACTAACTAGCCAACCGCTATAACAGAGAGTTACAGCTATAATATAACCCGTTGGTGGGGACATTATTCAATAGATGGAATGAAAACACCTAATCCTTATTGATCATACGAAAGTTTATGAAATTAATATCTTCGACGGAGTGTTACGCAGTTTGAACACAAGACAGAAAGACACTAAAGCGTACCAAAAAGCAAATCACAGATGCAACGAGCAGCCTGATTGGCCTATTAATTACTCCCAGAAACTCTAGGACTAGTTTAGATTTCATCGATGCGTTCTGTCGCTGTTTGTTTTTTACTGTTTGACTTAAATGACACTCTATAAATAAAAATGGGATATCACATTATTACCTGTAACTGAACTTAGGCTGTTTTCCTTATTTATATAATAAGTTTTTTAATTTTATTTACAATTATATTGGATTATTTTTACTTAATAAAAAAACACTACATTGTTTATTTTTGTAATAATAAGTTATCGTGTTATGTATGCCCGGTTACTGTTCACGACTTTTCTCGTCCTTCCACCAAAATGGATATATGCCTCCTCGCCAAAAGGATACTGGGTGTCGTCTCGAATAAGTTCTGAGACACGTATTGGATTGTTGATCTGTGGCGAAGGTAGCGCCACGAAGCTGATGGCCCAGTGAACGAAAACAGTAAAAATCGATCGGCGCAAGGTCCGGAGAATATAAAAAGTACAACGAGACTTCCCATTCAAAATCAAGGAGGGCACCCTTAACGATGTTTGCTATGTGTGGTCTCACGTTGTGATAAGGCAGGATGACCTGACCTCGCCTGGCCGGTTTTTTCCGTTTGGATAACCTGATCAACTTGATACAACTGGACTGAATAAACGTGCCGATTAACTCCTGGGGTTCATATGAAGAAATTTCCAGTGAATCAGGCTCTTATAGTCTTACCAAACACGAAGTGTAATTTTCTTTGAGGTTTAGTTTTCTTTGAGGTCTTTGGTTATCGGCGACATTTCTGTGCAAAAATTGGTTACTGAGGCTGCGTAATGCTCGATACCAAGTGAGATGTCGAGCTACAACGTTAAGCGGCATATCCTTGTTGAGTTTACTAGGTTTTTGAGATGGCTACCTTGAGATGGTTACTAACGGTCTTGCGGCTATCGCTCAACCTTTTTTACCGATTCGTAAGCTGTTTGTCAGCCGTCTTCCTTCAAAAGTATCTTCAAATGGCCGTCATCAAACTCAGATAGTCGGCTAGTGTGAGAAACATTCTCTAGGTCCCAGGTTCCGGTTTTAACCTTAAAAAGTTACTCTTAAGTATGTCTTCCAGCGGTATCACCGATACAGCACATAGGGCAAATATTCTGGGGCTCTTTCGGCTGCGTTTTGTTCTTATACACCAGACCTATTTTTTGAACGACGCGTTAACTATACTTATTCCGCCATGCTACTCTAAAGGTTGGTAATTACATAACCATCATCAATCGAAGGAATCACTAGGGTCCTACGAAGGTTCTTAACTTTTATTGCACACCGGACGCACATAAATGGTAGCATTGCGTTAGTGACGTCTTGATTTCTATTTTAGGCTTGTAAGTGCGACTCAAAGCCGGGAATGTTCTGCGACCCAGTGAAAGGTTGTGTGTGCCGCGGTGGATTTTCAGGTCGGGAATGCGGCACGCTGGTAGCTGGAAGTGTAATGCTTAGAGATCACACTGCCTATAACAATCAGCCACAGGGTTTGTATTAAAACATTTCAGTAATTTCAACTTAAGTGTAGTATTATCTAATCTAAGACACAATCTTCGAGTCAAGAAGTTAGTTCAGTCCTTTGGAGCACGTACGCCATCCGTACGTTACAGTACATGTTTAGAATGAATATATA